CATAGTACTTGGGGTGCGGCCTCACCAGAGCCAAGTACAGGGGCACAGTGGCTTCCTTAGTCCTGCTGGCCACGCCGTTTCTTGTATGAGCCAGGATGCTGTTGGCCTTCTTGGCCACCTGAACACACTGCTGGCTCATATTCAGTCGACTAGCCACCAGTACTCCCAGGTCCTTCTCTGCCAGGCAGCCTTCTAACCACTCAGATGGCTTTTCTAACCATCTTCAAACTTCCAGATCTAGAGGAATGCTTTGGCTGCAGCCTAAAAGCCACGTGCACGTAAGCTGCCGTAAGCCAGCCAACCTTCTTCCCATGACCTGCCAGGAAACACCAATGTAGGCACATAACCAAATTAAAGCCAAAACTTGCAGCCCAGTCCTTGACCTGAATAGTGAGTGAGGATCTGGAGCCTGGCATTTATGCGTGATAGCTTCTACGCAGCCGAAGTAAATACACCCCGGGTGCCCTGAGCTGGAGGACCATGATGGTGGGAATGATCAACTCCCAACTGACCCTGAACGTGTGCGGGATTTGCTGCTCCACCTGGATCTATACAAGTCTGTGGGACCGGGTGGGATTCATCCCAGGGTGCTTAAGGAGCTGGCTGACGCCATCACGGGACCTCTCTCAATTATTTTTCAATGATCTTGTGAATCTGGAGAGGTCCCAGTGGACTGGAAGCTGGCAAATGTCGTACCAGTTTTCCAGAAGGGCAAGAAAATAGACCATGGCAACTACGGGCCTGTCAGTCTCACATCAGCGCCTGGTAAAATTCTGGAGAAGGTGATCCTTGAAGTTCTTGAAGCGCACCTGGGGGACAATGCAGTCATTGGTCCCAGCCAACATGGGTTCATGAGGGGTAGGTCCTGCCTAACAAATCTGAATTCCTTTTATGATAAGATCACCCACCTAGTTGATCAAGGGAAACCAGCTGACGTGATCTTTTTGGACTTGAGCAAAACTTTTGACATGGTTTCCCCTTGGGATCCTACTGGACAAAATGTCCAGCATACAACTTAACAAACACATCATACGGTGGGTGAGCAATTGGCTGACAGGCAGGGCTCAAGGGCTTGTGGTAAATGGGGCCACATCAGGCTGGCAGATGGTCACTAGTGGGGTTCCTCAAGGCTCCATTTTAGGGCCGGTCCTCTTCAATGTTTTTATAAACGATTTAGATGTAGGACTAGAAGGTGTTTTGAGCAAATTTGCTGATGGCACCAAACTTGGAGGAGTTGTGGACTCAGATGAGGGTGGAAAGGCCTTGCAGAGAGATCTGGGAAGATTGGAGAGCTGGGCGATCACCAACCGCATGAAGACTAACAAGAGCAAGTGCCGGGTCCTGCACCTGGGACGGGTCAACCCTGGCTATACGTACCGACTGGGTGACGAGATGCTGGAGAGCAGCCCCGCAGAGAGAGATCCGGGGGCGGTGGTTGACAGCAAGCTGAACATGAGCCAGCAGTGTGCCCTGGCAGCCAGGAGGGCCAACCGTGTCCTGGGGTGCATCAAGCACGGCATTGCTGGTCGATCAAGGGAAGTGATTGTCCCGCTCTACTCTGCGCTGGTGCAGCCTCACTTTGAGTACTGCATGAAGTTCTGGGCACCACAGTACAAGAAGGACATTAAACTGCTGGAGAGTGTCCAGAGGAGGGCTACGAAGCTGGTGAAGGGCCTAGAGGGGAAGCTGTATGAGGAGCGGCTGAGGTCACTGGGCCTCTTCAGCCTGGGGAAGGGGAGGCTGAGTGGGGACCTCATTGCAGCATACAACTTCCTCGCGTGGGGGAGTGCAGAGGCAGGTGCTGACCTATTCTCCGTAATCACCAGTGATAGGACCCACAGGAATGGTGTTAAGCTGAGGCAGGGAAGGTTTAGGCTAGACGTCAGCAAGAGGTTCTTCACCGAGAGGAGGGTGGTCGCACACTGGAACAGGCTCCCCAGGGAACTAGTCACTGCACCAAGCCTGTCTGAATTTAAGAAGCGATTGGACTGTGCACTTAGTCACATGGTCTAAACTTTTGGGTAGACCTGTGCGGTGCCAGGAGTTGGACTTGATAATCCTTATGGGTCTCTTCCGGCTCAGGATATTCTATGATTCTATAAATAGTGTAGTCAGAGGTTATGGCGCTAGATTTAGAAAAGTCCTGCATAAAGAAGGGATCTCAGAGAAGATAATGTAAATAACAATAATATCAAGAAAAGGAATTCTGATTGCTAAATTCTTGACATGACTAGACAGATGAAAATCTATGATGGCAAGTTTGCCTTTAAGGTCATTTTCTTTTTTATTCATTTCTTTTATTTGTATTTATTTTTTTAACAGGCTCTGTACTAATTTTGCTCACAGAATGACCAGCAGCAATATGACCCTTACATGCCTTTTGTAGTTAATTCATTAGGTCAACTGTAACCACTAAGCCCCTTGTCAGGTTATTTCTACTAGTGATAAGGAGCAATAGAGCTTAAAACTTTGAAGCCAGGTAGACGAGCTTATTCCACAAGGTCTCTTGGCTCCACCCTTGTTAAGTGAAACCTGCCAGGTGTGGGTCATTTGACCTTTGCTATAAAGGAAGCCTGAGGACTTGTGGGAGAATTACCTCCCCAGGAGAGACTAAGGCTTGGGTAGCTTAGGGTGTTTTTTCTCTCATGGTGAATCAGGGCTCAGTGTTCCCTACTAGGCTGCTTTTCCTTCATATTTTCTGCCCTCTCTGTGAAATAGTTTCAGAGACTCTATGAGCTAGCTACATTGGTGGTGCCTTCTTCAGAAAAACCCTGGTGGCACTATTTCACTGCGAAGCACTTCAGAAGTGACGTGAGTTCAGAAGACAGCAGGTAAGTGTTCCTGGGTTCTGTGGTTGTTACGGTTGGGGAGTTTGAGTACTTCCTTCACCTTGTCTGTTTTCTGTGAAATTACTTAAGTGGATTCTGAGCTCCCTTCCTACCACTGGAGGAAAAAAAAAGGCCTCAGAAGCCCAAGTGCACAGAGGTCAGCCTGACATTGAAGAAGGTTCAATGGGTAGACCATTTGGGTAGACCTGTGCGGTGTCAAGAGTTGGACTTGCTGATCCGTTATGGTCCCTACCAACTCAGGATACTCTATGATTCTAAGGTTCTTAAGCATTTGGAAGATTGAAAAATGGACTGTGTGAAAAAGGTGCCTTAATGTGAATGCAGATTTTGCCTTGTGGTACGTAGAAACAGGTTGGGATGGATACTGGTGGAAAGATTGCTACTTTGACTAAGTGGAAATAGTGAGAATGTGCTGTTCATCATAAAAGAAATACTGTTTTGACAATATGCAGGTCAAAATGAGTATGAAGAAAGTCTGTCATGGGAGTCCCGCGCCTGAGAGGGAGTCCCGCGCCTGAGAGGGAGTCCCGCGCCTGAGAGTCCCCGACATACAGATGGGCTCGTGATCGAGGGGTGGACTTGACCATGGACGCTATAGTACAGGTTATTCATGACTGTGAAACATGTGCTGCAATCAAGCAAGCCAAACGGTCAAAGCCTCTTTGGTATGGAGGACGATGGATGAAATATAAATATGGAGAGGCCTGGCAGATTGATTACATCACACTCCCTCAAACTCGCAATGGCAAGCGCCACGTACTTACAATGGTGGAAGCAACCACCGGATGGCTGGAAACATATCCTGTGCCTCATGCCACCGCCCGGAACACCATCCTGGGCCTTGAAAAGCAAGTCCTATGGCGACATGGCACCCCAGAAAGAATAGAATCAGACAATGGGACTCACTTCCGAAACAACCTTATAGACACTTGGGCCAAAGAACATGGTATTGAATGGGTGTATCACATCCCCTATCATGCACCAGCCTCTGGGAAAGTTGAACGATACAATGGCCTGTTAAAGACTACCTTGAAAGCAATGGGCGCTGGGACGTTCAAAAACTGGGATACGCATTTGGCAAAGGCCACCTGGTTAGTCAATACTAGGGGATCTACCAACCGAGCTGGACCTGCCCAATCAAACCTGTTACGTACTGTAGATGGGGATAAAGTTCCTGTAGTGCATGTAAAAAATATGCTGGGTAAAACAGTCTGGGCTACTCCTGCCTCAGGAAAAGGCAAACCTATTCGTGGAATTGTTTTCGCTCAGGGACCTGGATACACTTGGTGGGTGATGCAAAAGAACGGAGAGGTGCGGTGTGTACCTCAAGGAGATTTAATACTGGGTGAGAATAGCCCATGAACTGAATTGCACCATGTTAATTAGTATATTACACTGTATGTTATCACTACCATGATTACTATAGGTGACTAATCAGAATGTATGGAAAAGAGTGTAACCTGAGCACGACATAAATGGTATGGAATAAGGGGTGGATAGATGTCCTGGTTTCAGTTAGCACAGAATTAATTTTCTTCCTAGTAGCTGGTGGAATGCTGTGTTTTGGCTTAGGATGAGAAGAGTGCTGATAACACCCCGATGCTTTAATTGTTGCAGAGCAGTGCTTATACTAAGCCAAGGACATCTCAGCCTTTTGCTCTGTCCTGCCAACGGGCAGGCTGGGGGTGCAGTAAGAGCTGGGAGGGGACAGACCCAGGACAGGTGACCCAAACTAGCCAAAGGGGTATTCCATACCATCTGACGTCATGCTAAACAATATATAGGGGTGGCTAGCCGGGGGAAGGGGGCCGGACTGCTCGGGGTTAGGCTGGGCATCGGTCAGCGAGTGGTGAGCAATTGCATTGTGCATCACTTGTTTGTACATATTATTATTATTTCCCGATTATCACCATATTATTATTATTGTTATTATTGTTATTATTTTGTTATTATTATTTTCCTGTCTTATTAAACTGTCTTTATCTCAACTCACGGGCTTCACTTTCCATTTCTCTCCCCCGTCCCAGAGAGGGAGGGGGGAGGGGGAGCGAACGGCTGCGTGGTGTTTAGCTGCCGGCCGGGTTAAACCACGACAGTCCCGCGCCTCAGCATCCCGCGCCTCAGCGTCCCGCGCCTTTATTTGGGACCAGGTTTAGATGTTGACTTTGAAGAGAAATCTGCAGCATCATCAAAAAGAAGTGTTTGACATAACGATGCGTTCTGTGACATGCATGATGTATATGCACAAAAGATAAAAACCATGGAGCTTGTGGCCTTTATGGCCATGTCAAAAATCACAGACAGGTGACTTAAAAGCAACCTGCCATCAGCATGGGTGATTCTCTGGTGAACTCCTCCAGTGCTCTCCAAATGACTTTGCAGATAACGGCATGATAGGGATGACTATTTTCGCCCTGAACCGAATGAGTCACCTACCGGGGTGCCCACCAGGTGGAGGGAAGGGAAAGCGAAAGGAAAAGGGAAAGGGAAGCCCTGAGGCATTGCCATGCCCGCCCACCCGACTGCGGATGTACCACCCGGAACGGAGGGGCGTGTTGGGGGTCTCCCTCAGCTCCCAACAGCACCCCCTTGCGCTGCCCCGCTGCCAGGAGGCAGGCGGCTGCCTCGCAGGGCTGGCAGAGCTTCGAGCCTCCTGTAGGCGGCTCTTCCCGGAGCCCGCGGCACTACGTGGTTTCCTTCCTCCCCCCCCGGGCCGGCCCTGTGGTTGCTGTGGGGCGCGGCCAGGCTGGGCGGGGCAGGGGCGAGCAGAAGATGGCGTACCCCGGGCAGCCGGCACCCGGCGGCGGCTTCTACCAAGGCGGGGTGAGCGGGGCGGGGGGCTGGGACCGCCAACAAAATGAAGTCGCCTCACGGCGTTTCGGTTAAGAATCAGGTTATGTTAAAGAACAGCCTCCAAGCTGAATGTTAATGCGTGTTTTCTCCCCAGTGCTTTCCCCTGAGGTCTGTCTTGCGCAACTTTTTTTTTTTTTTTTTTTTGAAGCAGGAAATAAAAGTCAGGGGTGCATTGCTAGTCTTAACCTTCAGGATCGCGTTTTTACTAGTATTAGGCTTTAAAATTTAAGCTTGATGGGATATGTGATACTGCCTGCCAGATGAGCGGCTTGTCCCTGTGCAAGGTTTAACCCCGACGTGCTTAAATTGTACTACATGAGTTTACCAATCCCCAGATTGTGTGCTCTCTTTTCTAAAGGAACTGCAGGTTTTTTTTTCATTGTCCAGACTTTTTAACGTGCTATGTATATAAAAACACATGTTGAGCCTTAAGTACAGACAGTACAATTTCTTACACTGAAGCATTAATTTAAAACTAATCATTTTATTTCTTGATTTCTGAAGTATGGTGGAGCCCCAGGAGGACCAGCGTTCCCTGGACAAGCCCAGGATCCTTTGTATGGTTATTTTGCTGCTGTAGCAGGGCAGGTAAGCCTAAATGTTATTCATTTGTTGGAAATACTTTTCTAGAGAGAGAAAATACTTCTCTAACTTCTACATGACATTAGCAGTAGGGAGAGCTCTGTAGTTTCAGGTTTTCAAAAGAAAAAGCTGATTGGTCTCACTTGCCTGGCTGCTAGAATGCATCAGCACGGTTGAAGAGCTAGTTAATATTATTCAAACTGTATAGTTACTGCCTAGCTATATACAACTATAGTATGTACTGTATGGCTGCACGCACGTACAGACTATAGTTCCTGTATAAGCCTATTCAGTAATTGTATATTACAGGAAACGTTGGAACTGAATTGTGGTTTAGCCATTGGTTGGGAAATGCTGTTTCTGGAGAAGGAAGCCAGAAGTGATGGGGAACATCAGCTGTGGAGATGTTTGTAGTAAGAGTGGGAAATGCTAACAAGAAGATGCATGATAAAGTGGCTTAATGGATTCACAAATGGAATAGCAGTCTTTATCTGTGCCAATATCAGGGTTTGTTCATAAGATAGAGTGATGACTCTTTAAGAGGAAAAGGCATTCACAACTTTTATTTTAGGCCTCTTTTTTTTTTTTCCCTTGTCAGTCTGCACTGCAATTTTTTTCTTTTTTTTTTTTTTAATTTCATGGCATAAGTTATTTTGATGTAATTGTGGATGTTACTAGAAATACGTAATTCCTGAAATGGGTTGCAAAGGTTAGGAGCAAGTGAGTTAAGCTTACTGAGCTAGAAGTTCTGTCTTTGTTGGCAGTACAAATAACAAAGCTATTTATTGTGAACATAGGGTGTGTGGAAATCTGAAACTCTGCTCCTGGATCTGATATCCACAGGTGCACGTGACCACAACCTGGAAGTTTTAAATCCAGCAGGCTAGTGGATGTTTAAATTCCCAGGTTAAGACTGTAATTTGGCTTACTGCTTTTTGTTCTCTGTTACTCATTTGAATTAATAATGCATCTTACACTCTGCGTGTTACTTCTGTAACATTGCTCATGCATACATAAACTGCATGTTTTTGTAATAAAGGTGAATGCTGGAATAAATGGTGTGTAATGTGATGGGCCTGTCCAGTAAGGCGTAGCCCAATCTAAATCCTGCTGAATGTGTGCTTACAGTTTGCTGCCAGCTCAGATGCTTCTGCATCCGGTGCCACCAGATAATGTGCTAGGTAGAGCCTGTAACTGGTGCTGGAAAAATGAGTAAGCTCCTGTTTTAAAAAAGAAAAAGGGTGGTAACAGCAAACAGGATGCAGTGCTATGGAGAACAGGTGATGAGAGCTGGACCTCAGCAAAGCACAGACCACTGCCAGACTACTCATGTGCAGCATGGTCACTAAAAGCTGGTGACCCAGTGAGCTAATGGGTGTGATCAAGTTAGTACTTAAAGTATTTAAGGTAGTACTCTAAATACCTTTTATATGTCAGAGTCGTTCCTTATTTGAGTAAACAGGACAGCTTTTGAAATGTTAGCCTTGATATCAGCAGAGTCTATTTCAGGGACCTGTGGTTGTCTGGTAAAAAAATCCTGCAAGGAGGCAGTGAAATCAAACAGATGACTTATCAGTTGTTTTTATAGCCATGCAAGTCTGCAAAAAGCCACATCTCACAGTTATTTTTTAATTTTCTTGTTAGTGTAATTTTTTATTACACCTGTGTGGTTAGTGATGTAGTAGATCAGAAGCAATTCTGTTTTTTCTCTCCTATTGATGTTAGAATCAAAATGTTGTTGCTCTTTTTCCAGACCTTGTAAAATGTCAGTTAGGGAAAAGTAGTGGTTAATATACTATAAATGTTACTTCATTTCTGAAAGTTAGCTGCCCGTATCATATTAACCAGGCTGATTAGTAGCATATCTCTGTGCAGTGGCTTTAAAAATCTTAGGAAAATGCTGAGGCAAATAAATCTTTTTTAATGCTTTACCCTAAAGTCGTGTTGTTTTTGCTGTCTGCAGGTGTAGCATGGCATCCTTAAATGAGATTAAATTATGCTCTAAACTCTCTGTGAACAAAACTTCATGCTGGGTGTGTGAGGAATGTGGCCTGGCGTTGCACTTCCACTTTGGACAGCTCATTGTTTTCCATGACTTAGTTGCTGTTTTATTTGGCTTGAGAAGGATGCTTTGGAAGGGAATCTCTTTTTAGATTGCACAGATAGGTATCTTTTCGGTGTCTTTTTTTCTTTCCAAATCCTTTGCTTTCTTCTTTTGTTTATTTTGCTTATTATTACCAAGTAATTTTTTTCTTTAAAGATTTGTAAGTCTTAAGGCTGTCTTGAGAAGAGGGTATGTATGAGCTGAGTTCTAGATTTCCTATGTAACCATGAGATCATAATAAATCTCTAATTTAAACTGAAAGAAGTACCATTAATTTTAGAGGAAATCTGCTGATCCTGTTCATTTTTTGAGATCACCAGATTTGAATGCTAGTGTGTGTTGCAAAAATATCAACTAAAGAAACCTCATTAGAGATAGAAGTCATCAAAGGCAGTTTGTCATATAGCATAAAGAGGGGGGTAATCAGTTGTTTCTTGAAAGGGTAAATTAATGCTACTGAAAAGGGAGCAGGTACTGGGAGAAACTAAAATGGGAGAGGGAATGAAAGCAATAGCTGATACATCTTCTGTTATCGAAAGGATGGACAAATAGATGCTGATGAGCTACAGAGATGTCTCACCCAGTCAGGGATTGCAGGAGCGTATAAACGTAAGTTAACAATTTGAACAAACAAACAAACAAAAGCGCTTGAGTGCACTAATTCTTATGCCATCTACTAGAAAATGCTTGTAGTTGTGCTTTCTGCAGTTTCTTCTGTTTGCATGGTTTCTTTCCATATGGACTACTTTGAAATGTAAATTTTCTGTATTTCTTTGTGGATAGGGTTTCCCTTCTCAACTGCCTTCGTTCCTGCCACTGAGCTGAGCTGGGAGTTGCAGAAGTGTTGTTTTGTAATGGAAAGACAATTCTTAAAAGGTGTTTGGTTTGGAAGGTGAACTTGGATATCGACTAAAACATTCTGTGGCAGAACACCTCTGCCAGGGTGCATAGTGCTTGGTTCATAAAGCTGAGCAAAGTACCTTGCTAAAGTGGTTTCTGTGCTAAAATATAAATGACCACTTTGATTGAAACCCAAAACCTTTATGGATTGACATAAGAGCAAATTAATTTTATATAGAATTTGAAGTGTCTCCACATTGTCTGCTGTCAGTGTTTCTAACAAGTAATGATTAAAAGCTCTTGCTTGGATCAAAACATAGCATGGCTGTGTACAGTAGAAGAAATCATAATATTTTAGACATTATATATAAAAATAAGCAACTGAAAATGTTGCATTTAGATGAACAAAACTGAAAACCATTCTTGTAATATAACATATTTTCATTTTTCTAATTTAAACAGCTTTCAACGTTGAGACTTGCAGGCTCATGATCTCAATGCTGGATGTATCCTTTATTATGAAATATAAACATTTTTGCATTATGTAAGCAAAGATAAGAGGGTGACTAAAATTTGGAAAGTGCTTTGTATTTTCCCTCTAGCCTGCACTCGATATATATTATGATCGGGGACAACAAAATTCCATTCTTATTCATTTTACAAGATGAAATAATTGTAACAAATCTGTCTGTCAGTGACTGGTCTATTTATAACAAGGGGGGGTCTCTAAGTCTAGGGGACTATTTCCCCACTGCATGTCTGAAGAGTCGGATCTCACAGCCCAGAATGGAGGTTTGTTCAAATAGCTCATTGTGTTTTTGAAATTAGACAGCATCATAGATGTCCTAATGAATTAGGCATCTGTACTACGCAGCCTAAATGTATTCTAAGGCCCCCTAAATCCTGTTACTTGAATTATCAAATTCAAGTATCTAATGGCATTCAGCCATACAACCTGTGGAAAATGTAGGTACACTGAGCAAGGATGGATGGAATCTTTGGAGTTTAAAAGTTAGGCTCTCATGTTCAAGTGTTTTGCTGTTTAAAAAGAAAAAAAAAAAAAGCTAAAATTAAACGGGAAGGACTGATAGGTCACCTGGAACAAACTGCTATAGATACCAGAGATCTGATATTATTCTAACTTACTATTTTTTATTTGGCATCTAATTTTATTTCAGATATGTATTTTATCAGTAACAGTTGCACTGCAGCAGATAAAAGGGGAATTTGTTAACTAAGTTACGTTTACAAAGAGCAAATAGTTTTATCAGGCTTCACTGAGAAGTGTGGATGGATGACATTTGGTTTTGGTCAGTGGTATTACTCTGTCAGTGCTGTGAGATGCTCTAGTTTGCTGTCAGAAGGAGTAGTCAAAATACTGTTAATATTAACTGTCAAAGAAAGCTTTTAACTACAGATGATAAAAATACCAATTTCCATTTAACAGAGGACTTTTTTAATTTTGGAAGTCAAGGAAACTTTTTCTTAGCTTTGGAATCAGAGGGATTTGTCTGGCACACTGGGATTTAATGAGTTTAAAGAACTGTGGGCTGTGGTCAATGGCTGGAAGCAGCACTTCATGAGTTTTGACAGCGATAGAAGTGGTACAGTGGATCGTGAAGAACTGGAGAAAGCTTTGACAAATATGGGTAAGTCAGTGAAATTTCCTTGCATCTGATGTTGATTTCCAACATTCCCCGGTACCAATTATCCTGTAATAACTGACACATGGTATTTCCAATAAAAATGTTGGATTGTGTTAACCTACCTGTCTTCAATACAGTCTTTCTGTTTTCAAACAGGATTTAGATTGAGCCCTCAGGCAGTGACCGCAATCACAAAGCGATACAGCACTCGTGGAAAGATTACATTTGACGATTACATTGCCTGCTGTGTGAAGCTCAGAGCTCTTACTGGTGTGTTGGATTATAGCCTTGTTACTTTCATCTCTGAAATATGTCTTTATTTTATAAAATCTGATTACTCAGGTATCTCAAGTTCAACTTTAACTTTTATGTAATGCAAAATAGGTTTCTTTCAATGGAATTTACAGGCAGAACTATAACAATTATAAATTGATTATTTCGATCTCTATTGAAAAATGGACTAGTATAAGCTTTATTCCAGAGATTAGGAAAGTTATGTTATCAAAATTGGGAAACTGCATTTAATAGTGGAATGCAAAGCATTGTACATAGTAAATATGAAGATCAGTTAAGTCTTAGAATGAGTTGCTGTGTTCTTCGTGAGTTCTCATTTATGTGGCCTGGGGATTTTTATATTTTTACTTGCCTTTGTTTTGCTCCGCTGTCATTTCCCAGTTTGTTCCATCTTGGAACCTTGAACCTTGTGTTTTGCTTTAGAATAAAATTCAGGAAGGTGAGAAATTTACATAAAACGGTTGGTTGTAATATGAGGAGTAGTATAAGCTATGGGCTAGTCTTCTGTTATTACATACAAGCATTTTCAATTAGGCATTTGGCCAAAATGAAATCTAAGTAGAATTCATGTTTTAAAATGGTAACTGTTTCTTACTTAATTTTTGATTTGTCTTTTTAATATTTTTTTTTCAGAATGTTTTAGAAGAAGGGATGTGTCTCAGCAGGGTTTTGTGAATTTCCAGTATGATGATGTAAGTGAACTTCAATGAATCAGCTAAACTTACGGGGTAAAACTAAGCAAAAACTTAAAACTGAAGATGAACAGCAATAATTTCAGTTTGTGCCTGACTGGTCTATGTTAATGGGAAGACACTGCAGTTGTTTGGGGGGGTTGTTTTATTCAGTTCTTCTTTCAGAGTTCAGCTAGGTAAAAGAGTTGGAATTGGGTATTCTATCACCGAGTCTGTACATGTTTACTGTAGATTTCTACAATTTCATTATGCATTTAATGCAGATTCCTTACTAGTATGGTTCGAAGAAGACCTAAGAGTCTATGTCACTTGCTAACATCACTTCCTTTGACTTTTAATTTTGTTTTAAGGTTTGGTAGGCATTTTTCCCAGGAAAGGTTGGGGAGAGTGGTGGAATAGACACAGAAATCATACTCAGTCAGGCTTGCGGGTCTTGCATTCCTGACTGTATCTATGCAAGATGATGAGAACAGTAGATAGTAGTAGTCCTGTGCTGCTGTTGTTCAGGAGATTTTTTTTTGGTTTAATTTACATATGAAAACTAGCAAATAGTTATTTCAAAGCTTTGTTGGTCAAGGACTGAAGTTGTTTAAAGAAAAAAAGCAGGAGAAAAAAGAAAAAACTTGTATTCTATTTCTAATAAATGTTTGTTCTTCTTTTCAGTTCATACAGTGTGTTATGAGCATCTAAATCAAAAAGGAAGTTGTGGATGATCACAATTATCATTCCAGTTCATGTTTTGCTTTGCCAAACATTCCCATGATTGTGTATCTCAATATTGGAAATTTAATATTTTATGAAGGTATTGCTTTACACACTTTTTTAGTTTTGATAATGAATATCAAGTAATCATGTACTGTCGTCTTTAACTTTCACCCTGTAATTATTAAAGATTTTTTTTATTTTCATAAAATTGTAAGTCACTATGTATAATAACCACAATCACGGAAATACTAAGTTTTTCTGTAATGTAGTTTACTTCTTCCCTATAATTCAATAAAAAAAGTTCCAGGAGTGAAACTTACAATTTTTTGTCTTAATAATACCATGCAGATGGCAGAAGATAAGACACATTCTTTTGTCTTTGGTAGTGTAGGACAGATGTACAAACTGAAAGCATTAGCATTTGGAATTTCGCTCTTCTCTGTAAGAACGTCAGTAAAATTGAAGTTGCTTGTTTTGACAGCTAGGTATTTTCAAGATGAAGTCTGTGACACCACACATTGAGCATATGACTGCCTGTTAAAATGTCTTATAGGCAAGGATGAGATAAAACATGCCAGAGAACTCTTCCAGCATTGTGCTCTTACATATGGAGCTTTTGTTCTAGTAACTTCTTGGTCTGTTTATGTCCCTATATACAACGTTTTTAACATATAAGAACTGTGCTGTGTCAGTTTATACATTAACTTCCCTTTAAACTTCAAGCTATCAGACTTCAGTGACGTCAGTTAATGTTTTTTATCTCCTCATTAAACCCTAACACCTACCCTTCCTGCCTTTATATGCCAACTAATGTACAAGGGTCAAAACCCTTCCCACCTGCCTATGATGGAGTTTGTTTTCCTTATAAGAGCCCACAGAGTGACAGGTTTTAGATTTGTGACTGAACAATGGTGACAGCACACCAGTGGTTTAGCAGTTGCACAGCTTCAGGCCCTTCTCTTTCTCACTCCATGACCCCAGTAAGTAGGCTGGGGGTCAGCAAAAGGCTGGGAAGGGGCACAACCAGGAGCGCTGCCCCAGACTGACCTGAGGGATATTCCATGCCGTGTAACATCGTCTTTGGCAATAAACTGTGTTAAGTCTCTCCGAAGTACCTGTTGCTTGGAGCGTTGCTGGGTCTTGATCTGATGGAGGGAACTGGTGAATTGGTGAGTGACTGCTCCCTCCTTTTTTCCCCTTTCATTTATTAAACTGACCTACAAGGATTTGTTTTTCCTTTTACAATTCTCTCTCCCCATTCTGTTGGGGCTGGGGCAGGCAGGCAGTGAGCTAGAAGCTGACACGTGCTTAGCTGCTGGCTGGGATCACCCTACCACAGGCCTGAAACTACTCATGAAAGAAAACAGCCAATAATGAATACAACATACTTCTTGTAGATAAATGTTATTTATTAATTAGTCTGGGACACCTGGAAAATTCACTATAGGTATGAAGTTATGCCATAAAACATGAGAATGAATGATTAAATAATATGTGGGATCAAAATGCACCTACACATAAAAGCTTGGCTTGAAAAATGCATTTAGCTGAACTGCACCATACAAAAATGGTGCAGTTTGTTAAAACAGTTATTGCATAAACAGAGGAGTTATTTGCTTTAGAAAAGTACCACGGTGGGATGTGGTTTTGAGGTTTTATTTGTTGTTTTTCAGGGAAGGGGAGGATGGTATTTTGTGTGTGGTTTTGGTAGAGGGTGGTGGTGCTAATACGACACTTCTCTAGAGCAATGAGGGAAGAGGACCAGTAACAAGACTCCAAGTATTCTTCCTCACTTTATTTATTCCCAGGTTGAACTGATAGTTCATAGGCTACTGGACTGCAAAATGGTGCAAGAACAATGTGAACAAACAGGGTCATCTTCATGGATCATGATATAAACACAAAACAGAGAAACCTGTAAAATGAAGAGCTCCAGAACCAGGAAGAAATTCCGGTTAACCAAAGAAAACATTGCCTTTATTCCTCATGAGCATTTCAAAAACCCAGTGTGCCCACACAGACTGATGGAATAAGATCTTTCACTTTTAGATTCAGACTAAAATAATCAATAAGGTTACTAAGAAGTGACCTCAGTATTTGCTGTCATCTAACTAAAAAAAAAAAAAAACCAGCTACGTAAAAGTTACTTTCCCATTAACTGCAGTTTCAGTAAGCAGTCTGAAGATATAAGTTACCTTCTTTAGAGAGACACATCTATAACTCAGAATTAAGATTCTTCTCTTTCCCAGATGGCCTCGTGGGAAGGATACTTTTATGATACTAAATGGGGTGATTGTTCTTGATCCTAATGCAAGCAATTGGGAATGATTTAAAATGTAAATAGTTTTTTCTAGGTTGCTTTCACACATGCATACCTAAGGAACAGTAATCTTAGATTTGTGCTGAGAACAGTGGGACATTAAGGCAAAGATCAGGAGGCTCACAGGATCAGTATCAAAACTAGTTTGAAAAACAGCATCTCCATTTTATTACTAGCCAATAGCCTTTTAGCCTTTTTTTCTCACACATTCAGCTTTTTTTTTTTTTATTATTATTACTTGGAGAGAACTTTAACACAGGGTATAGATGTGCTAAATGTAAGAACTTAAGTATAAGAAGAAGAATAAACACCACAGTCCTTTTCATTGAAAGTCACTTTACTGATGTTACAATATGTTAGTAACATTGAAAACCACAGGCATTTGTATTAAATACTCTCAGAGAAGTGGATACTGTGATGCTGTTATTAAAAGTGAGCAGGAATTTGGAACCAAATTACAATGATCTTATTTTATAAAAAGCAACATTTTTTTTAGCTACATGAAAGCCAGATTCATTCACTTCAACAGCCCAATGCCTGTAATGTTGATGACAAAAATATCACACTCAAAGCTCGAAAGCTGTAAATTGCAACGCTTCATTTTGGTGTTTGTCAAAATCATGTTTCTATTACATCATGTACAATTTTTTAAGGATTTTAATTAGCGAAGACTACAATATGACGTAGATTGGTTGGTTTTGCAAACATTAGCCCAGCCCCAGTGGTGAAACACAATTCTCCTTGCCTCTGAATGTTTTACCAGTAAGGGCTAGTGTGAGTGAAAAAATAGCTTTTTCTTACAGCAATGCCCAAGAGAAACATTAGCACAAAATGAAGCTGGCAGAGCCAATCCGTATATACCACCCCCAAAGCTTTGCTGAAAGAACATCATACTGTAAATAGTGTTTTCTCCAGCAGATTAAAAATTCTGTAATGCTTTGCTATTCTGAAAAAAATAATTTGCTTTTATGCAACAATAAAAATAAGTACTGTATTCTATATAAAACACTACCTATTGTAATACATCTTTACTCTTAAGAAAAGAAAAATCAGGTTATATATTCACAGTTTGAATATGTTCTGGACTGTATTTCCAAGCATAAAATATTTAGATTCTCTACACAGGCAGTGAGCAGGAGTCCTTGTACCAATATTCAAAATAAATCAGCATTTACTGTTATACAGAGCCTTACAATATTGCATGATTAGCTGCTAGCACCACTATACTTACATGGTCAGTCAGGCCTATATACAGAATTCCTAATTTGGTTGTAAAAATAGACTCTCCATGCTAAAGTTAGAATATAAGGTCTTAAGGCCTCAAGTTAAGATTTTTTTTTTAACCAAAACTTTTCTTTTTTTTTTTTTTTTTTAATTAGAGGATATGTAAACATAAAAAAAGAAAAAAAAAAAAAAAAAAAAAGAAAAAAAAAACTTGTTGCTTGGACACTGTATGCTCCTGTAATTAAAAATAGTGTGACACCTCTGCTTCTCCCTTTAGAGAAAGTTTCTTTTTAATTGCTCTGCACTTCTTTTCACCAATCATCTTCCTCATCTCATGCTGAGTTATATTGCAGTTATGGCCCATCTATGTAACCAAAGTTTTCAAACAATTTAGAGCTGGCTTAGCTAAAGTATTTTTAAATGGTTGTAGGCTGGATTTTAGAGAACTAAAAATGCCAGCCTCAGCCAGGTGAGTCAATTTGAAAGTGAGGGACAGAGTTTCTTGAGTGTGAGCAACTGAACACGTTTCTGTGTTCTGAAGTTACTTTCACTGCTCGTTTTGGTTACTTGTCTGAGATAACATATTTGTGTTGATTATTGTAGTTCATTCCTAATCAGTTGCAGGAAACTGCTCTGGAATGACAACACACCACCTGCTGGCTGTAGGAGCTACTGTTTCCAAAGCTTTTACATCAGCATCCATACCTGAGGTACCGAAATATCTTTCATAAGCCAACTTGGAAAATATTTGGGTCAAAGGAGTTTTTAGTGTCAATGGTAGACACTTCATTTCCTGTTTCAGGTGAAGTCACACTTAGGAGTCCTGTCTATACTGCAACTGTATCTACACAATCAGCTTCACTGTCTTCCTCTTTTTCTTGCTCTATTATAGCTCCATGATAGCTATTTACATATAGGAACTTCACCCCACCATGCAGTCACGGGATGACAAGCTGTACAAATGTGCCATTTATTTATATTTGTCTTCAGGAAATTTGATTGAAATCAAATCCCATATTGCTGTTTAATTCTGTATGGTTTGGAAGCCAGGCAAATAGTGGGGTCAGACTGGCATCAGAGAACAGAATGCTCAAGCTCTTAAAAATGAGGTAAATCAACTTTACATTGTGGTTGATAAAGTTACACAGTCTACTAATGATATGGATATTCAGATGACTTAGAGGAAGAAGTGGATACTTTTGAGAGTTGGAGGAAGAAAATTAGCATGTAGCATGACTTTTAGGTTCACAGTGATAGAAGAGATTTATCCTTCCAAAATGCTAGAGGATGAGAAAGACACCAGATGACAGCCACCAAATGGTTTTACCAGTGCAAATTGCAAATGAGGCATGAGGATCTTTCACCTATACTGTAGCAAGAGCAAAAGATATAATAACAGCACTGGAAAGACCTTATCTTGTGTGGAAAGGCAACTCACGTGGCAACTTTTTGATCTTAGTCAATCAACACGAGGCTGCTAGGGGGTGTAATTATCATTCATGGGCTTGCTTTTCAGTAGGAGAAAAAAGGGGATGGAAAAGAATGGGAACAGCAGCTTGCTCAGTTTTACACTGGAATTTGGTAAGTTTGACTACAACAGCTCTGCATGGGATCTGATGACAGAGTAAGTGCTAAGAGCTAACCTATTATCCCACAGAATTATGGACTCTCATCACCGTGTCACGTTGCATCCTGATGTATTCTCTTCTCACATGCCAAGAGTCTTTATCATGTTGCGAGTGTCCATGATACTAATGAAACAAATATAAATTTGGTCTGAATTTGTAGTACGTGCATGCCTGTCTATGTACCTACTCATAGCCCTGGTTTTGAAAACAGTTGTCACATTGATGTTGACCCCTCAATTTGTTTAAAACCAGCAACAGTGATTCAGGTAAGAGGACTTAAGCACACTAGCTACTGACATAATTTCTTTCTCTTTTTACTTCAGGTTATAGCCCAAAGGTCCAGTTGTTCATTAGCATAATCAAAATTATCTAGTGAGTACATCAGCTTAGCAGGGTCAACATCATAAATCAAGAACAAAACTCATAAACCATTTGGAAGTGGCTGTCTTCAAAGATACACGTCACACAAAATTATATGTAAATTATCAGTCCTAACTATTTCTGGTATACTGCCTGAGTATGTTCATCAAAAGGCAATAGCATGGATTAATCAAATTCTTAACAAATCCATAACTAGCTTTTTAGTTATTAAATTGCAGCATCACTGTATAGCCTTATTATTTGGACACGGTCTATAACTTTCAGTCTCCATCAGTTAGTGATATTTTTATTTAAATTATACAAAGATATTCTCCCACATGTTAAAATACGTAATGCTAAGTATAGCTCATCCTGCTGGTTGTATGTTCTTATGGACAAATACTTGTAATGTATTAGACATTACACACCACCACCACCCACTTCAACAGGTTTCTACAGCATAGCTGGCAAAAAACTAGTTAATTTAACTAAAAGAAAAATAAAAGTTTGAGTCTGAATGAGTCAAAATGACTGAGTTATCTTATTGACAATACGAGTGCTCTATTGTAGACTGGATGAGGTATTATGCGGCAATTTATATTGCTATTGCCAGTGTAACCAACTACTATGGATAAAAATATATGCAGTCTTCAAGGTTACAAATCTGGCAGCTTTCAACACACTGCATTTTAAACCACAGAAATGCAAGCAAGCAACTTCTTCTTTGACCTCCATTGGCTTTAGAGGCTCTCACAGCCCAGTTTCCTGAGCTGAACCTGAAAACAGTTCAGGTTTTGTGCCATGACGAGATCTCCAAGCTACAAACTTGATGCAAAATTCTCTGCTGAAGAATTTTGCAAAAATGAAAGGTTTGCGATGTTCTCACTGTAGACCATCAAAGAGAAAGTCAACGTTTATTTAACTTAAACTTAGAGCTCATAACTAGACTTCCAGTCACGACATAGCCCCAAATGTGAAGGTGACTGTTAAAGTTACGCTACAGACACAACTGTATCATCATATGCTATGAATGAGTTATACCAAAACATGTGAGAAGCTGCAAGTACATAGTACATTGAAAATACAGTCAGGAGAGCCATTTGTTTTCAAAACAATAAGCTATGAACATTACACAAACAGCCAATATGGTACATCCAGTTCTGTTTGCCAAATCTTGCTGCTTCTTGATAAGGCAAAATGGAAAGGGAAGAGTAAAGGGTGGTAAACATGAAAAATGCACAGAAATCTAACAGGATTATTCAAAATTACATGCTAGTTTGTAACCGAACAAAATATCATAAAAGGCACATGACGAAGAGTCCAGATACTAGAGACAAGATTCTAACGTGGAAGGGGAAAACAGCTTCCAGGTAACAGAGTAACACAAGAGCTGTGAGGCTAGCATAATTTCCTAATTAGGGTGAACTTGAGGGTCCCACTCAAAGTCCAGCAAAATCAATAAAAGACTTCTATTGATTTCAAGGGATTATGGCTCAGGCCCTAATTTCATGAGCTATACACTACCAACTACCTTTAATCCAGTTACCTACACTCAAAGTAAATCTTTGCAAAAAATATTCTTCTGTGCTGCCAACTATTTACTCTTCACAAAAGTGCAGAATCATTTCCTAAAGCAATTACAAGTGACTGGCTCCTTCCAGCTGTTCTGTATTGTACTTGTACTCACTCTTATTTGACTTTCTCCAAAATACTTACCAGAACCTGTCTACTGTGAAGGAAATCATTTGAACTCCAAGGTCAATATTTTGTTATAATCCAACACACAGCCTAATCATAAAATATAGTGTTTCTAAAAATCTTACATACTTTATAGCTGCTGACATTTCTTAATTTAATCTTACATATACGTGACTTTATTGACTTACTTAAAAGTTAAAAAAATATATTAAAAGGCTGAAAGTGTTGGGTTCACTTTTTAAAGGAAATACATGAAAGAGGTAGAAGATTCAGAAACACCGCAGATGTTCCCATCACAATGATATCTAATTGATCATTCAGTCATTGGGCTAGGTATTCAACTGCACCACACAGAATCATGTGTGTTATTCTGTAATGGCACTACCTGAAGCTAAGAATTTGTCATTTTTGGAGAGCTGGAGAATTATAAATTGAATTGATATGGTCCAGTTTTCTTATTGAATGAAAATTTCCAGTCAGAGGACCACATTTCCTTCTACAACACCCTTTAAAAGTCTCAGGTACTGGAAATCTCACCATCCATTTATTCAGGAGACCAATATCTCCACGGTAAAGGTGTTATTTTTTTGTTGTTTTGTTTGTTTGTTTGTTTGTTTTATAGGCTAAACTCACTTGTACTCAGTTCATGGCCCCGAAAAATTGTAAAGGGGACTTCAGGGGCAGCAAGCAGAGCATCCTAGCACATGGTAAAGGAGATTCCAGAAACAAATAAAAAGACAGCAATGAAACTGGCCACTTGCCCAGCATTGTTATTATCTAGTGCAGTGAAATTGTTAGGCTTCTCATAAGATACACTTTGCCATCCACAACAGCATCTGAAATGTTCTGTCAGAAATACGCAGCAAGTCTCACCATAAGGACTCCATATCACCACATCCTGAATTGACTACGTTGAAGTGTTCCCAAATTTTCAGGAGGTTTGTACTGCACATTAGTTTAAGACTCTGTCTCTGTTGTCTAGAAGATCGTTCTTGATTGCACCGGTGTGAGAATACTCTGGTCATCTCACTGGACAGCATATGTTGGCTGGTTCCCCTTACGATGACTTAAGACAAAGTGCCACAGTACTGATTTCTGTGTTCCACCATGTAATTGAGATTGTCGGCTACTTAGAAGACAGTATAGATTTTGGTCAAACACCAGTTTCTGAGAGACATGGTTTTACAGTACTGTACTTTCTGTATTTCCACAGTTGTCTGCTCATAATATTAGAAAAATTGAAGTGTGATGATGTTAGTCATGACTGTTTCTTTAGGCATTTGGCAAAATACACTTATGTATAACAGCTATTTTTGACATTATCAAATGTTTACATATATACAATCTGTATACTGAGATTATAAACACATCAGGTAAAAAAAAAAAAAAAAAAAAAAAGATATAATCCTTGTTTGTTTGTTTGATGTTTAGGTTCAAAGAGTTGCCTTTCAAAGCTTGAAATCCTGTCACAAAAAAAAAAAAATCCTATATTTCTTACTCCTGCATGCTAATTGCTACTACGGTATGTTGTTTATCCCTTACATGTGGAAAGTAAAGAACACAAGGTTCATGCACACAGCGTACAAGTTTACATTGGTCGGGTTCTCCTGAACACGCGTTCCCAAGCCTGGTCTGGTCTGACTCAGAACTGCATTAAACCCGAGAAAAACCTCTCTTGGGTGGGACTCGCAACCTGACTGCAGCTGGGATGCTAGGTAAGTGTTTCTCTCATCATGCGGAACAGCCTTGATATGTCCAGTCTAATACTCCCCTGTTAATTGTTATAATTTTGGTTGTTCTTTACATCAAATCCATAAAATTCTGGTTGACCAAAAAAAAAAAAAAAGAAAGAAAAAAAAAAAGACCACTTTTTCCCTTCCAAATGAGAGAAGGTTCCCATTGTGATCACGGGCATCTGTGTTGATCTTTCCCCTTGTCTGAAGAGCAGATGAATGTGCAAGGACTCAGCGATGCTGAGTTTCTATAAAATCTGAAGTAAACAGTTCTTGACGTCACCCCAGGAAAACGGTGCAGCTAAATGGAAGTCTCCCATAGCTGGAGAGGGGAAAAGGGAACACAAACACATGTTAGACACTGAGATAAAGCAGACTGCTGCCCAAAAAGTGCAAATCTGTTTGGGGAACTACATCTCCATTGCCTGGGTCACCAAGGCTGTGCTTGTTGGTCTCTCCTACCTCTGGTGCACTGTTCAGGCCACAAGCAGGCAGCCCTGGCCATTTTAGCACAACTTGCAGTCAGCAGAGTAACGCTCCACAGGAGCAGGCAGTTTGAAGGAAATATATCGGTGTTACATCAGATTTCTACTAGCAAGCTTTTACCTCACAGTTACAGTAATTAATATAAGTGTAGAGATTATTTCCCACTGTCTTCTGCCTAAACCTGCACAGGACATCTTTGATCTCTGCTGTGGGTTCCAGCAGTGCTCTGCTTCTTTATTCTTGCACAAAAGGGTGGAGAACCGTGCTGGGAATTGCACCTACTTCAGCAACATGAACTAAAGCTATCACAAGTACAACACCTAAAGTAAATTTTAGGGGGAAAGCAGGTTGCTTGTTCAAATGCCTGCTGTGCCTGAGTTGACACAAAGGAAGCAATGGATAGCATCACCTTCTAGCAGCGGCTGAAAATCTCATTCCAGATGTTTCTCCCCACCCTGGGGAACCCCAGGGCTTGATGCAAGCCCTTCATGTCCTCCTAAACTGCAGATCGTTCGCCTTTCTATAATGCTGGTAAGCAGCTTTCCCCCAGCCCAGATGCGCACCTCTGAATGCTTTAGATCCCTGGAAGGGGTAAGAGAGGAGAGCCAGGCTGCTCTGGGGCTGCCCGTCCTCCTCCACAGCCCAAAGGCTGCCCAGGCATGCTTCCAGTTTGAAAAAGTAGTGAGATCTGGGCTTCAGATGGGAGAGTAACCCAAATCTTTAAACACAGCCACTGAGGCTGCTCTGACCTGTGCCAGAGGCTCAGCCTGTAGTAGCTTCCAGAGCTATGGATACGAAGTTAATGTTACTCAAAAGTCTACTACACTTCCCATTTGCAAAACTACCAGTAAATAACATCACCGACAAACATGCACAGAGAATAATAGGGACACATACCCTGGCACTTTGCCTGTTGGCTTTTTTCTCCTCATCAGGAAGTGGTGGCATTGGGTAAGGGTATTTTCTGCTGGAAGCAATAGACCCAGTGGATGAAGATGGAGACTTTGCAGGAGACAGTGTCCTGAGGTGTTGAAACACACAAAATAAATGTCATGTCTTCGGGTCCCAGCACTGCAACAGCAACTGCCATTACTCTGAAGCGTGGTTCAGAACCAAGTATTATTAGCTCAATATTGGGGGGATAAAGTTGTTTGGTCAGTAGTCTAATAATTTCATGACTATAAATAAAGGTATTTATAGCTTTCAGGAACACTGGAGGAAAAAAATAAAATTTCCTACTTATTAGAATTGTATTCTATTATAAAAATGATTTCTTAAACTGATTTATATGGTATTGTAATTAACATTTTTTAAATTAACAAAACAAATCTTTAATTGAGTAAATACAGGACTAAGAGATAGACATGGCATTATCAAGCCTAAATAGAAACAGTAATAGTATAAAAACAAGCTGAACAGTGTCTTCTGCCAGTGGATGGAAAAATGGCAATTATCAGTGTCTTTATTATATATATATATCTTACACATCTCCTATGTTGATAAAAACATAGCAAATAAATTTATTATCTTATAACGACACATTAATTTACACATATGCATGCACTCGGAGGCCAAACTGTTAGTTGTGAAGGAACAAAGGCATATACAAAGTGCTAATAACAAATTATTCGACATGCAAGCATCATACAGTGCATATTGTTCCAGCCAAAGAAAGAGTCTGATGAGAATATACAAAAATGGACTGATTAGTCAATGGCAATCAGCATTTCTGTACAAGGTGAGTAGAGTAAGCAGGAGCAAGTAAATGTTTGAATCACATGAAAGGCAGTTCTTTTCAAGTCAATAAGGCACCAGCACATTATTGACTGAAATTTTATACCCAAGAAAAACTCTTGTATGCTTCTGTTTTGAGATTCTGCACTTTTCCCACTTGAGAGGTTCCTATCAGGCTCTAGTTCTGGGCAGAATAAAAGGGGGAAAAAAAGTAGAAAGTGTACCCTGGCCTTTTTGTCTTTTTGTTCTCCACTGCAGACTGAGGGCATTCTCCTAAGGAGGCCTCCCACTGGTGCAGGCACATCACCCAGAGCTTCCCTGAGCACTGTAACCTATTTTCTGAGCTTAATGTGTCCCTGAAGATGGAAGTTGTGCCTCAGACTCTACACAGGTCCTCCAGCCCCCTCAAACAGCAAGGGCTTGTGTGTTGAGCAGCTGTAGGCCTGGTGACGAGCACCATTAGCAACACCATGGATACCAAGGAGTCACAGGGCCCAGGCCTGGCAGCCAGCCTCACACCTCTCACTCAGGGATTCGTAGGATCAGCTCCTTCTGTCTAGAGATTACTAATAGGTCAGGGATTCTTTAGTGTCTGGAATTGTTTTGTATATCTATTATTTGAGTGAAAATCATTTACTTTTAAATAATTATTCTTTTACTTTGGACTAGTGCTTCATTTTCTTGTGTCTGCAGCTCCCCACAACAGCACACTCATGTCTCCCATACAAACAATGACTGATGGTAGCCACGAGCAACACGGTGTCAATGGAAATCACATGGTGACAGCTCTCCAGCCTGGCTTATGATGCTCTAGTTCCTCATGCTGTAGCCTCTAAGTTCAACAGCACTTAAAAAATTGGGGTCAGTAAGTTATCCAAACATTGAAAAGTACATCTTCAGCACGTGCACTTTGATTACCTATTAGGATGAACTGGACATACGTGAACATTTTCAGGAAGAAAATTTTAAACAGGTACTGCAGTGTAAAACAAGGCATTCGTATGTCCAGCATCACAGATTTGGGCACCAAAATGCACAAGCAAAAAAAAGAAAAAAAAAAAAGTTACTTTTTAAAAGAAAAGCAGAGAAAGGTTCTCAGCAGTGCCCTGCTCAGTGCTCTGCTCTTCACTTCCCCTACGAGTCCTCTCATCTGGGCCCAAATTTGGACAGATAAGGATCGCTAAACAAATATTAATGGATATAGAATCAATAATAATAATAATAATAAGGAGAGGAGGAAGGGGGAAAGACAAGGATAGTAGATTTTACAGATTATTAGTAATCTGATTATTCATGAACTTTGCCCAACAGCTGCAGTAGAATTTAAAATCTTGAAGGGTAAATTTATAACAATTAGAAGCAAAGAACCAAGGGTGTTAGATCTGGCTTGGTAATCCCTATGAGAAAGCTGTTTATTTATGCAGGTACCATGGTTGCCTCCTGCACACCACTGGCTCTTCCCACAGGTTATTTTTGGCACCGCAAGAGAAGGCTGTGGTGAGAGGGAAAGCCATGGCCAATCTACCTGGCCATCAACCTTAGCAGGTGATGCTGGAAGGAGCAATATCCTCCCAAGAATGGAGCATCCTGAAGACTTTCCCTGTTCAGCAGGTCCTCTGAGACAGAAGACCCCTAGCAGCCAGGTACATCTGCACTGTAACCCAAAGCTAAGCAGCAACTTCTGGCCTCCATTTTTCAGATAAGAGTTGGAAATTAGAACGACAATCAGAGTTTGAAGGAAGTCTCTTAAAAAGAGGTTGCACAGAAGAAGCCTGGGGGCAGACATATTGCTTGAAATAGACTTATGACTAACCAGAGATGTTAAATAGCTGCTGCTCACTGAAGATGAGCTGCACAGAGCAACTGGGAGAAGAGTCTACAAGTGAGCACCAGCAGAGAGCAGGGCAGGCCGGTTGAATTCATACTGCTGGATTCACCCGTGTGGTACCTAAAGCTTTCCTTTGCAGTCAGCAGAGGCCTCCTCGGTGACAAACTTAAACTTGCAACTTTTAGACCAGTATACTGGTGGAGGGAAAGAAGATCCTCCTTCTTGATGTGGTAGTGGAATTTTATCTTATACTATAGGGAAGTATTTATTTTATATTTTTTAGATTTGGAGGAAAGAGAAGAAAAAACGTTCCTAATAGAAGTGCTTTTTAAAAAATTAATTCAAATCCTATGCAGACAAAACACTGCCTTTTTGAAAAATTTTGAAGCCCAGACCTTCAGCACAGCTGCCTACATTTCCTACCTCTCCCCTCCACACGTGTTGCCAGCTCACCTGTGTTTTGCACACATAACTGATATGCACGTCACTGCTCGCCTGCATGTGCAAGGCCACAGCAGCTTTGGGAGCAGCACGTGCATCCTCCTCAGGTACTTTTCAGTTCAAACACATTGAGAATGCAGTTGCACACTTAAAGAAATGACCTTGCCCTCCCCTCACAGGCTCTCGCCTCTTATTTCTGCAACATAGTCAGGTGCTGTTTTTTATTGTCTTTAGTCCCATCTACTGAGACTGGGAAAACATATCAGTGCTCAAGTGGATGCTCACAGAGCTGATGGTGCATCTTGTGTGGTAAGCATAGTTGTTTGGGTTTTTTGGTCACTTTCCAGGTTCTGCCCTGCAATTGTGTATGTGCTGTGTATCCCAGATTTACATGTACTTTAAATGAGAAAGAGACAAAATGTCCTTTCTCATTTACAGGATGGAAGAAACAGCATTCAGGGACACTTGCAGGTAACGCCAGGGTTAAAGGTAGGTAAAACTTTGCAGTTTGGGGCAAGGGTGAGATCCATTTAGCTTTCACTGGGGTTTTAGTTCTCCTGCTACCACATCCATTAGCTTTCATGCCTAATGTTGCTTCCAGGTGAACCTATACAAGATATTGGGAAAGCAGTCTGATCTGCAGCAGAGTTTCAGAGATTTTACCACCAACCCAAAATGAAGCCATGCACCTCAACACATCGAAAGGACTTTCATTTCTGACCAGGAAGCAAGATGTAGTGGCTGCTTTGTGTCTCTTTCTGTTCTAGCAGCTGAAACTAATTGTGTGGGGAGATCGTGCTGGGATCCAGAAGAAGATGCTAAGGCAGCTGGAGAATACCTGCATACAGACGTCTGCCTGCTCTGTCCTGTCTTCTCCTAAACAGGGAGAATCCTGGCCCACACAAGGCATTGCAAAATGTGTTCCCTGGTCACACAACTAGATGTCTTGTGACCTCTTCAAGTGTCACTTTAGCCAAACTCATAGAAGGTGGCCGTGACAGATCTGCACTTTTCGAGAACTTTGTTTCCCTCTGTTTTGTGGACTGAAATAACTTAATGAAATTCACTTAAAAGTCAACTCAGTGAAAGCACTTCAAATGTGGCTATGTCAGCCTGACCTGACATCTGCTTACATGGTTCATCTCTGTGAAGGATGTTATCAGCATAAATCAGCCTCCATTAGGAAGCTTCAGTCTTCTAAAAACACTGATGTGGCTCAGGATTTTAGCTTTTAAGGCAGTTCCTTCTGGGAAACAGCCACATGCACAGGTTTCCTCGGGAGGAGAAGCAGAGGAAGGGGAGGTTTGGCTCTGGGGGAGCTGCAGAAGAGGCAAAGGCTGGGGCTGGAGCCCCTCACTCCAAGCACTGCCCAGTAATGAATGCTCCAGAAGTGAGCACTCACACACTTTAACGAACTATTTTGCTTAATTCTTGAAGTGAAATCCTGACCCTATTGATGTCATGTGTTTTTTTTTTTTCAGTGGCTGCCAACAAGGCCAATATTTTGCTTTGGTGGTAATCAGGAAAACTCCATCCTGAAGGGGCAGAGCTTCATAAGAGGAAGGGTCTCTTCCTGATGGCAGAGCAGGGAGGTTCTGCTCCGGCCACACATCCTGCAGGGGGACAAAGTCATCCTCACCAAGGAGCTGGGATGCCCCAAGGCCACAATGACTCTGAACTGCCTGCTGCCATCACTGCTGAGGGCTTCACACTGACAGAGCTTTCCAGTAACTGCAGCTCACTGCAGCAACTGGAAGATCAACGGAGGCCAATTTAACAAGTTAAAAATATTGTTGAGAGAAAGGAACAGAGAAACAGAAAGGGATTCATTTTGTTTGTTTGATTTTAATTTAAACACAGCCTCAATCTCCCTCAGAAAGAGCTGGGAGATGGTCAGTCCTGGCTCTGGCCTCTGCTGCATGCTCACAGCAGAAGGCAATGGACATGGCAGAGCAGCAGAGTCAGCCCAGGCCTGAACATCAGCTGAGGAGGAGTGGAGACAAACATGAGGAAGAAGGAAACAAGAATGCCAAAGCACAGGAAAAAAATATGGGGGAAATGCCTGTTGTTTCCTGCCCTCCATGCCCCTTGCCCATTCCTTTCTGATTTGGGATGGCCATTTTCCCTCTGGGGTTGCATCCTGGGTCTCCATCTAAATTAATGTTTTCTTTGTAAATTTATTTTAAACACTCCCAAAGATTTTAAGTTACCATAAATACTGGCATAAATTCAAATGTAAGAAGCTCAGTGCTTCAGAGGGCACCTTCCAGTCTCTTTTGTCTATAGTTATATAGACATATATAAAGTTATAGTTATCTATAGAAATGTCTGCATTTGGGGATTCTGATGGTTTATTTTCTGATGCTAGCATGGTTCCTCAGTCCTTTAAGATTCAGAGAGAATTTCTAGGAATCCTTTACTGTATTTCCTAATGTCAAGCTGTGCGGTAACCACTGTAATTGACAATAACAAAAATATACAGTAGTATCGCAACACTAAAACAGTGAATTTACCTGAGCAATAGCTGATGTATCTCAGCAACGTACCCCTCTCTCCCTGAACCTCCACAAGAAATATACATTTAGGGCAAAGCTATTTAATCTTTGCAAAGTAAATGGAGGCAAAATATGTCTTTGCTGTTTGTGCAAACAGCCCTCACTGCTCTCAGGGGATGAAGGTGATGCTAACATAGCACTTACCCCTTGCTGCAATGCTGAAATTTCCCACCTGGGTTCACTGCTGGGGTTATGCAGCTATGACCTAGCATGTAAAATTAAAATCTAGTGTAGCCTTTGGGCGGCAGGAAAATGAGATTTTTCTTTACAGTTCCTATTTTCCTATAGAAAGGAATCTCACAGCTGGGAGCTTTCTGGTGCCAGAGCTACTACTACTATTATTATTAATAAAAAGTAATTATATGGAGATTCCCACTAGACCTGAAAAAAAAATATAAACTATTTAAATTTAATAACTAGGACACCAGGTGTCAAGGTGGCAAATTTAGACATTTTTTTTAAGCTCATGGAGTAAGCCTCTGTGATACCTAATATCTCTATTTTCTGAAAATCTGCAACTTTCCCAGGAATTGCAGGAAGACCTTTTATTTTTTTCCTGACTCTACTTCAACTCTACCTGCAACAGCATCAGTCATCAAGACATGATTCCTAAAATTATAGGGAAACAAACAAAACAGCAATATCACTTTCATTCATCTTTAAAGGAAAAAAAAAATCAAATATTTGCAAAGAAAAAAAAAAACTACTCAGCTACTTAGCTGGTGTTAATGCCTTGTGCTGTGATTCCTAAAATGAAGTATCAGCTGGACCGTTTGACTTCAGCCTGACTTTCTGAACTTACTTCTGAACTGACTTTCTGGCTTATTAAACAAGATTTATTCGGTTTTCTCTGTGAATTGCTCCAAAGCTCAATACCCAGCCATGTGATGTACAGACACACAGCTTTTAGGAACACTATTTTTCCTCCACTGACAGATTAACCAAAATTGTGCCTGATTTCTGGGGAGAAACATGCAGTGTAACCTCTCATAAGCCCACGGCTACTCATCCCAGGAGAAGATTTGATCCTTTGCCTTCCATAATATGCCTGCAGAATAGTTCCCTGAGGTTACCTCAGTTAATTAGGACACACAGGTTTCTAAATTTATCCTGATTTCTCCCCTGTTTCTAAAGCTACTGCTGCGGGCAGTCATTAGTAATCTTCTGTAGAGTAAAAATGTTAATTTAGGTTTCATCTCTGCTGATACCAAGCCGAAAAACTCACAAGGGTCAGCTTAATCCTCATCTGCATACAAAAAAATGTTTGGTTTATCTCAAATGTAATTAGAAATGTGACTCATTCACCGCAACATTCACCTCAGGAGCAGGGTGTGCTCCCATCAACTTAATCCAGTCACTAAATCAAGATATACTGATGCTAAAAGATGAAAACCACATTAAGTGTATGCATTGAGGAATCTGAACCTGTTTAACTAAACCAATTAAAGTAACATGTTTTAAAACAGTGTTATCTTCATAGCTCATCAACACCTTTGTTTATTGCAGCCAGAGGGCTTCGGCTATGAACACCCTGAGAGCCAGCTGTGAGGTTAGGTCATGGAGACAGATTGCCTTGCCTGAACAACAGAGGTCCAGAGGGCATTTTTAGGAAAAGGTTCAGTTTCCCTTGCTAATAAAACACACCTCATTCCTAGTGTGAGTTTGCTGAATTTCCCCTTCCAGTTAATTTTGGTTGCTCTCAGTCTTGGTCTGCCCTTAAAGCTTTTGCTCCATGTAAAACCATACATAGGTTTTATGATCAGGTAAGCACTTAACTTCTCCATTAAACTTCTGAATAGCTTGAGGTCCTGAAGGCTTTTCTAAGGTTTCTCTGGGCTATGTACTTAAACCTCTCTGGTTCTTGAACACGCTGCTCTAACACCAGTGGTTAAACTTCAACCCCCTACCAACACCAAGACCCAATGGATTCTGATGGGCACAATCACAAAATCCTCCCTTAAACCTGGGATTCCTGTGTCAGGGATTATTCCTACTTGCTCAGGACCGGCAGGCTTAAATTTACCTCTTGTGACCTGTTAGCTCTTCGGAATGATTTTCTGTAACTTTCTCTGCAATTAAAGAATTCTTGAAAGCAAACATAAATGATATTTTAAAAAAAGGTACCTATTTTAAGCCCTTACAAGAGTTCTGCAGATTTTTAGTTCTAAAAATGACTAAACTCCCAAGTTGTTATGCAATATCTTCCAGTGTTACTATCAGAATAAGTGTTTCATTAGCATCTTGTGATGTAACTCCATCATATTTTTTCTCCCAAATACACACTGGACATACTTAGTGAACATTTCTGCCCTTTTGCACTATTATTAGGTCTACTATGGTGTCAAAATTATTGTTAAATTTCTATGTATTCATTCTTACCAGCCTTCACTGTTTTGGCTAAAGATTCAACTTTGCATTCTTTTTGTTTGTGTATCTATAATCTTTTTTCAGCTTCCTATTTAATACGTCAATTTACAGCTTTATTGGTTTATTTTGTTTTATGTTATTTGTCACAAATTGTCTCCCATTCTCCCTTATGCTAGGTATTTGTTTGTTTGAGCTGATATAAACTTCTCTCTCAGCAACAAGATTGTGTCTTTTGGGAATCGACTAAAATGTTCTCAGACTCTTAATTATGTGCAACAGGGAGGCCAGCCTCATGCATGCTTCTCTTTAACCTGGGATGTAACAAATGTACACTTTTCCCTTTCAAAAACAAGGGATTTTTTTGGTAGAACCCTACACTCACTTGTAACAGACTCATTAGTGGTTTGATAAATACAGCACGGAGTATATTCTCATACTTTTAATTATCCAATTATGATATGTTAAATTAAATTACAATATGTTAATCATTTCATTGTATGCTTAGGATAAAATACCACTACTTTTTTTTTTCTTTTTTGGTTTAAATTTTAGTATGCACTATATAAGACAGTGTGTAGAGTAAATGTGTTATGAAACCACTTGCTTCAGTAAATTACATTTTGTTTAAGTTAATACTACTTTATTAGTGATAAATACGTCTCATGCCCATAAACACTACTTGGCATAAAATGATGAGAAAGCTACTACAAGCTATAGATGATGGTGGGAACGCATGCACTACACACACCCTTTTCAATGGCTTCATTAAAACATTCAGTAAAAAAATTGTAAATTGCACATGAAGCCAAAAACAGACATCAAAATGCAGCAAAAGAAGAGGGGCCCTTTGCACCTACAGTAACTTGTATTGATTTATACAAGGTAGGAGTCCCAACATATTTGTATATGCTGGAACAGCTTTTAAAAAAGATATAGAATTAATTTACAAAATACCTAAAGTATGGTCCTTCAGTGTTTTTATTCACATCTTCTACCCACTTAGCTACATTATATTCTCTTTTGAACCATGGGTTTAAATACCTGCGGAAAGCAATGGAAGGAACAGAGAAAGCAGAAGAACAAGAATAGAAAATCTGAGAACACACAGCACAAGCTTAGCAAGGATGTCTTCATCCCCAAAATGCAAGTGAATATGGCAAATAAATCAGTATGGATGTTGGGTGAGGACTAGGCAACGTGTACAACTGCATGAGAAAATCTGAACTACAACAAGACTCGCATGTTTGGTTTATATGGAAGATGTTTGGGATATATCATTCATTTAATACCTGAAAGGTAAAATTCACTCCTATGCAGAGGGCCAGCATTAAGCTCATGGTTTGAACTCCTCTCATGATCTCAAAATAATGTTGAAGGGGAGACGTTTTGGCTCCATCCTACAGTTTGCTTGTTGCAGAGACAGGTTTGCATCCATTGAGAGTAAATCACAAGACAATGGCTAAGTGAGCAGAGAAACCTGGGCTGGGCCCCTTCTACAGGAATGAATTTAGGCCTCAGTGTGTTAAAAGTCTTGAATTTTTTGCCACTGCAGTGGCAATTTTAACACTCATGTGCAAATAAACCCCTAAATTTATAATGATTGTTTCGTAGGGCAGGATCACAAGAAGCTTTCAAGGAGAGGTGGGCTGTGGGATTATCTCACAATTTACAGAAGCAATCTTGATACCAAAACCACACTTTTCGGGGGGGGGGGAAGTCTGTGCTACACACTCATATTAGTTACATGAAAACTGGGAAATAAAAATGGTGTTTAATTAGTTGACAGTAATGTTACCAGAGGAGAAAATGTTTTGCTAACTGGTATCTCTTAGCCCCCAGTACCAAGGTTAGGTAATTCCTCCCCCTCCATCATGTGAATTAAAAAAGGGCAACATAAAAGCAGCAACCTGTCTGGTCCGACTCAAATCTGGTTTCGTAGTATAAGAATTGCAAGTTTAACAATTATTTGTAATCACCACCTTCATATAACAGAGACTAACACATGTTGGAATAGGAAATAGCTTGTAACCAAGGGAAAATGGAAATAACATTCCTTTTTCAATATATTTTCGGTATTTCTGGACCAGTTCTTACCACCCTCATTTATGAAGGGGACTCCAGTGACCTGGCACTGGGGAACAGGCCTGGCAAGGGACTGCTCAGGTGAGTAAAGTGGGGCCAGTCCACGTCAGTTAACCCTGACCATCTTTCAGACCATGTCGAAGACAAAAGCAGCAGCACTTTTTTAACGGCTTAGGCCTCCTTTTTTGTTCTGGAACTTCTCCCCGCCCCGCGCAAGCGCAGCCACAGCTTTGGGAAAGTACTCGTCCTCAGCCACAAGTGCTCGCTTCTCAGTAGCTTCCTCAGCTCGCTTACTTATCAGGGATCAGGAGTGCTTTATGCTTTCCAGCTCAGGTACTTAATAAAGAAAATGCCAAAAGTGGTGGCGCAGCAACGGAAGAGCCGCAAGTGAAGCCACGGGCTGATGGCAGCATCGCCAGGAACTAATTAACTTTAGGTTTTAGCGTTAATTGTAGGTGCAACTACATGTTTTCAGACATCGCTGCAGTACTTTTGATTTGCTTTTTTTTTTTTCATTTAGAAGGGTGTTTTGGTAACCATGAAACACTCCCGGCCTGGCTTCCTGTATGAGAAAACAACGTGTCAGGAGGTATCTGAGCATGCAGCTGCGGCACAGCCGTGCAGCCGGCCTTCCTGGGTCTGGCTGCACTACAGAGCACCGCTCACTGCCCCGGGCCCTCTGGTACAGCAAGGCCGAACTCGGGTCACTGCAGACCATAAGTGATACCATCAGAAAGCTCTCATGTTGATCTCCATGGCCACATACATATTCGTTAACGACAGCCAGAATCTGCATTTTCTTTGGGTGAGAAATTCCCCTTTACAACCAAGGTGTCCCTACACAAAAGCCTCCAGCTCAACCGACGGCTCGATTTGGCTTGCAGCGCGACATGCAACCGTGCGAAAGACCTGGGCTCAAGGGTCCTAGTCCTCCTCAGGCTGGTGAGGAGGAAGGCTAGCTAGCGCTGCGTCAGCAGGAGTGCCTCCAAGCAGTCACGGTGTTTCGCCACAGTGAAAACTATGGGATACTGAGGGAAAGGGGCTCGTCACGGGATCAAACGGCAGCCCAGAATGCAGGGGCAGGTGAGACTGACCTGTGATCCTGGCTCCCTGTTTGGGGGGGGTCAGAGCCCTCTGGGCTTATGCCTTGGGCTGGGGTTTGGTGGCCGAGAGAAAGCCCAGGCTCAGATGCATGAGTTACCCTGCTGCAAAAACACAATATATAATAGAAAGTCTAAGCCAACGATGTTCGTATCAGTTACAACAACGAGGAAGATAAATGCTTATAGGAAAAGCAGTGCAAATTAACAACGATCAGAACTGCTATTTGGCAAAACACATGTTCCCTGGGACCTGTTTTAACACAAGTTCCCAATTAAACTTCAGCTTATTCAGAAAACCCTCATTATCTTTCCTGGATAACTCTAATTGATTTTAACAGAAAACTTGTTTTATCAGGGCATTGCATCAACCCTGCTTGTGAAAAAGCTGCAGAAATGCTGGGCCTGTTGGCATTCCTTCTGTGTGAACCAAACCATCTGCCTTTAATAAAGAAGAATTTTGTTTTGAAACATCTAGAAACAATTTAAAATATCCCAAAAGAGCTTTAGCAGTCTCTGCAGAGTGATACTCTCAGCAGACACCTCATTTCATGAATCTGTTAAGTATAAGGAGTTGCAGAGAGGTATGTGCAACCATGTATGTTTCCAGGACATTTTTCCAGTACATTTTCCAGGAACTGCCCAATGCAACCCTCCTGTCAGTGTTGTTCATGAGGGCTGCACAGCTTAAAACTTGTGCAGTGCTTAAGAAATTTCATTTAAATGATTAATGGCAAGATTTTCCATCTGATGCTTGCCTGTACACACAAAAAAATACTTGTGCATAATGTGCAATTACTGCAGACTAATAAATATACCAGATTCTTTTATAGGCAAGTGTATTACTGTGCAACTTCTGGAACTCGTGGTAAAAAATAAAAAAAATAAAAAAATAAAAAAAATTCTGCACCAGGTATGGCAAAACTGAACACCACCTTTCAGCAGGTAATCTATCTGTCTCTGTCATCCACAAGAAACCAACAGTGCTACCCTCTTTTTCTGTCTCAACAAATATTCTTCATTGGACTTACAAGGGTCACATAGGTTGGTTGGCTTTCCATTTCAGAACAGATTTTAAGGTTATTCTGTGTTCTCCAGAGAAATTAAGAAAGTAAATTTGTCTGGGAAAAGCCTCCATTTATTCTAAGGTATCCTCAAAGTAGCTGGCATTGCATTTTGTTTTGCTAGAAATCATTGGGCATGGTTAAACCATTCTCTGTCCTTTTTTTCTTCTCCCAGAGCATTTTATCTCTCTGAGCAGATCCACTGTGTGCCCTGGACCATTCTCTCCGTTCCCCACTGAATCTCACCACATGTGGTTCATTCAGTGAGAGCTCTCTCTCCACAGGGTGACCGGCTTGCCAAGGAGACTCGGACAAGCCATGCAGTCCCATGCAACCCAAGATATTCCCCCATCAGGAGAAGGGAATTTTCCAGCCAGCACATGTGTGCCAGGAAAGCACACACTGCTTCACTGCCCTCGGGTAGCCACAGCCTTCTACCTCCAGCACCAGGGCTGCTGCTGGGGTGAGAGACCATAGTAAGTATCAGGGAGGAAAGCAGAGAATTTGGTAGAAATGCTGGGGTACCTTTGAAAGAGAAAAATTTTACAGGGAAAAAAAAATTCTAACTCTCATGCTCCCTGTTTACTCACTGATTTATTACTCTAAACATCCTGTAGTAAATGTATTACAGCTGAGCAGCACGGATAAAAGAAATATGTCCATTAGAGTTGGTGGGGTGTTTCTTTGCCTTTTTTTTTCTTTTATTGAAAACGATACTCTTCCCAACAATTATGTTCACTCTGAGATTAAAAAATAAAAAAAAAAGCTGATCTGTTTTCATTTTTTAATAACTAAATCTGGCCCCAATTTGTGCCTGTGCTGAAGGATAGAATAACGATAAAATTAATTTAACTATATTGTTTTTATAAATCTTATTTGAGAAATGCAATTGGAAATGAAGAAAAGCACAGGACGAGTTTCTAAAGAACTTCCAGTCTCATTTGTACTCTTAATGGTTTGGCCAGATTACTTTTACTTTTATCAAACTGTCACATGCATGGAGGAAAGAAAACCATCAAATAAATAATGTTCCATTAAGAGTTTATCAGCACTAAGACCAAGAGCACTGGGGCACTTGACAGATAAACTCCCCCAAGGGATTTAGGAATGATATTTCTGGTTCCATATTAGCATTTTGGCCACATAATGTTTTAATTACTATGTAGATCAAATTATTATTTATGTAATTAGAAGGAGATGGTCTTCTCTACGTATCTTTCTAAGCCTACTTGCCTCAAAACAGTTCACTGCAGGTGAAAGAAAAGTTTCAGAACAAACCTAAATCCCCAAATTGGAGAAAGCAGGGTCCAGACAGGAGTTAGAATGATTAGTTTCCAGCAGGGTTGGTATCAAGCCCACTTGCCAATATAGGTGCAAAGTTAGTACTAATGGTATAGGGAAAGGGCATTGTCATTGCCATCACGGTCAAGAAGGGGTCATTCCTATGTGGCATAAATGCTGTAAGAGCAAGCCAGCATTTGACAAGCCCAGAGATTTTGTTTCCAGCCATTCCCTATTCATTCATGAAAGGAGCCTGAACCAGCAGGATTAAGCACATAGGAACGGTTCTTTCCCAATGGGGAGCACTGCACACATGGTCTCTTCAGTGACTGTAACCACCTAGACAGCAACTCTAGGCCATGCTGTAGAGGTCTGGGGATCCATCACTTGGTAAGGACTGCCATTAGCCGTTTATTTCAGGGCTTACTCAAGACTGGCTGTTTCAGGATTTGCTGGCTTACAACTATAAGCTTCAGGGTACTCTGAGAGCAGACAGATACCTCTTCTAAAGCCTGCAGGCAGGCACACAGAGATACACAGTGCTACCTCCGCAATGACCCAACCCAAGGTGAAGGCAAGGGGAGGAAACGGGTTATCAGAAACTCAATATTGAACCAGGATACACTCAGCAATGGCAGTTTACTGTAGACAAAAGCCTGTGGTGATGGTGCAGGCTGCCACCATCATTGGGAATTGCTATGGGAACGACTGAGGAAGCCTACATAAAAAAGAAAATCGATAGTTAATTTTTTTTAAGAATACATAAAAAGAGGTTGAAATACATTAGCCAAACCATTACCATATTATCAGTCAGCAATCAGAATGTGCCACAGGGCAAAAAAAAATGCAACTGTCTACTTTTCAGTATTCTTAATCTCAATCTACAAAATACAAGTATGAAAACTCTACTTTTTGGCTTTGCTGTTGTAAATTCAGACTTACTCAGTTGAATTAGACCGTGGCCTAAATCTTTTGCCTCTGACTTTCTTTCTGTTTCCTCCTATATTACCTGAAAGAAATCACAGGATAAAGACAGATGGTAAAACATCGTGAAACTCACCAGCGTTCCACTCCAAACTGTACATTCTCCTTGCATTCCCAGCAAAAGCCACTGGCTATGACCACTTAAAAGCCATAGGTCAGTCCCTTTTGATTTACCTCAGACCAGGTAAACTTGACACTTAAGTGATCTTTCACTACCTTTTGCAGCAACTGTGCAGAGCAAAAAACTATTTAGCTTCAGCATTCACTTGAGAAAATCACTGCTTCAAGAAAAACACTAAATACTGCACGGTAAAATCACAAAAGTTGGCAAGAGTGAATGGACTTCCTCTTTTTCATGTTGGCTCACACTGGAGGAATAGGAGAAATTAGATCTAATTTCCACATGTAAAGCATTGTGAAAAAAAGGTTCTTGTGTAGGACAATGCTAAATCCTAGCTCCAGGTTAACAACAGGCACAATGGCAAGGATTCATGATGCTCTCCTAAGATCACCTACATTTCAGAGAGCCCAGTGACAAAGATGTTGGTTTCCACTGTGACCAGCAGAAAAGTTCACACTTACCTTGCCATGAATTACTCCTAGGCCTCCCATTTTCACAAATGTCTGAAATATGTTTTGTGTCTGGGATCCTTTCACTCCAGGAATGAGATAATCCATTTGACCTGGAACAGGAGGGCTCAGATGCGGTTATTGTTATGGCTGTTGTCTAACAAAAATGCTAGCTCAGCCTGTTCAGAGACAGTCACATTCCCCAAGTCAGTGCCATGACACGGCCTAAGGTCTGTCTGCACTAGCAAAGCATCCACTTTTTTTTTGGTGAATTATGCTCTGCCAGCTGTCCCTGCAGCAGTTTGGTGTGTCCACGTTCAAGAGACAGGCTTCAGCATCACTTTCTCATGCTGCTGAAAGCACAAACATGAGCACATACCAGATTTCTGTAGGTATTTCCAGCCCTGCCCCGGTTCTTAGTTGGACGATGCTCCTCTAGTTGTGCTTATGATTTTTTACTGCATCCTGCCTGCAGGCTGCCCACCCCATCCTCATGCTGCTGCAGAAAAACCAGGACTGCTTCCCTCTTCTCACTGCCACCAGTCTCAGGATTCTGTGATGAGCAGCCTCCCAGACACAGATGGGAGCTCCAGTGGAGGGGTAACTGTCTCATTTTTGCTTATTTCTTTTTCTTTTTTTTTTTTTTTTGTATTCTGTCAGCTAGTCATTGCAGATTATACTTTTAATGCCTTTATATCTAGGTGCTTGGTGCAAACTAAGGTTTTTTCTTCCTCTTGTATTCCCTCTAACAGCCAGAGATGTGTGTGGCAATGTCCAACGGGAAGAGGAGAGAGTGGGATTCTGCAGCAGGCTCCCTCCTGTTGGACTGTAGCTGCTGCTCGGCCATTTGCCATGATATCCACAATTATTTCCAAAACAAGAGGAAGTTGAAAACTGGTCAGAATAGACAGTTTATTTATTAGAAAGAGGTTTTGCTTAAAGGATGTGTTTCTGTATTTTGTAACAATCTGAATACTCCTGCGGTTTTCAAATTCTGCTCTGCTTGCAGGGCAGGCATCTGTCAGATGCTCTCCAGTTTCCAGAAGACCTGGTTAATCACAGCCACACTGAAGTAAGCCCAGAATTTTATTTGAAGTTTTTTGAGGTATGAAAGATCTGAGAACTGACAGATTGACAGATTTTGTAATCATTTTCTCCTTGCTACAGCCTATTTTTATGTTCACGAGTGTCTTGCTATATACTGTCTTTGGTGTTTGCAATTTCACAATAACAAAAATTATCATGATGTTATGTTTTAATCTCAGAACACCCTGGAACACCCTCTGTGAATACTAACACTTCATAGGATTTTCCAGCAAGAAGAAGCCCAGGTGGCTAATGACCCAGTCACTTCAATACCTGCCAAGAGCTGCCATTGATATCTGCACCCAGAGCAAATCAAAACCAGCTAGAGGGGTAGGAAATAGTGCCCTGGGCATCAAATGGGAGGACTATGACAGTTCCACCACAATGTAATGGAGCATTTGTCAGACTTACTTGTCCAGACTTGACAGTGGCACAACATAGCTGAGCTGGTGGTGGGCAACAACAAAACTCTCTAGTACAGACAGACCTTAGAAATCATTTGCTTTTTGGAACAGGCAATAAACAGAGACACATGAAAGAAATGAAGTGTGGAAAGAAACACAGGTACAGAACAAAATAAGAAACACATTAAATGACATTCATTTAAAAACAAACATTTTTTCTTAACTGGAATATGAACCTGCTCACACCAACCTATTGAAAACTTGCTTCCCCAAGACTTTTTTCAAAATTTTATCCAAATGAGAAAAGATTCTCCAACACAAACACTGTGTCATTTAAGATTAATGTTTCCTCCCCAAAACAAATAACTTGTCCACCCACAAATCTAAAAAGCTGAATTTAAAATGTGTACGTTGATCATTAATTATATAGTACTACAGTTTTTATTAATAGCTTTTTTATTAGACCAAATTTGATGAAGTTGCACATGAGATGAAGCTGGTATACCCAGTAGCACTACAAATGTATCCCTTTGATATATTTCTCTTTACTTTCTTCAAAATAACAACTATAAAGAGAATGGTTTTGTCAACTGCACAGCTATAGACTGCTCCATGAGACAAAAACTGAGATTTGCAGCTTTGTAATCAAACAATTCAGGAGCGTTTATCCCCACCCCACCCACTGAACACTTACAGCTTCTTGTAAATTGTTTTGAAGTGGTAGCTGAAGATTTTTGTAATTAAAGGATCTCTGATTGCAGCAGGACTTTGATCGTCACGACCTAAAGACCTCAGCAATCGCAAACTCCTTTCAATGTTTTTCAATTATTTTTCCATTTTAAAGTGTTGATTTTTTTTTTTTAAAGTAACTGGAGCAACAGCAGAATAAGTGAATTCTGAACAAGGGCAAAATCTCATGCCTTCCTTGGCTACTCATGACAGCAAGCACAAAATTACAGAAAGTCTTTGCAGAATTATTTTTTAAGATATAAATGTCTCAGTGACATTTAGGACACTAGTCTTATAAGTAAAAGTGGAATCAAATGCAAGCACCATCATCTTTACTGTGAGGCAGAAAGAATATTATCCAGAACTCTACGTCAACTCACTGAATTAATGACACTGACAAAGATATAAAAATATTTATATTAAACAGTTTATATTTATAATTATTATTGAAGCAAGATTGTGTTCCTTGTCTTTGATTACATGACTATGATAGTTTTTGTTTTGCTTTGTTGTTTTTTTGTTTTGTTTTGTTTTGTTTTTGAGCAAGCAATTATCATACAACCTACTTGAAAACAATTCTCAAGTAGAAAATGATGAAAACTGGATTACACCAAATTTGGCTTACAATGGAAAACGTATTTATTCTGGCCTGGTTGTAGTTGTATAAATTACTAGCTTGGGGCATACGAGAAAAATCAGTAATCAAAGAACAAAGGATGCTAATTGTAACATTCCACAAAGAAAGAAGAAAGGATCAAACCTGCTGCAAAACAATGAAATGTTCTGACTAATGGAATAATGGGTGATGGAACAGGTAGAAATCTGAAAATGCGACAGAAAAGCAGACCTCTTCTTAGAACTAGATGCAGAGTTTGTGCTGACTCCAGGAGGCATGTCGCTATAAAAAGAGTCGGCCTCTCCAGGCTTTTTTACATAATCTCCCTGGGGTATTTGTCTGAAGTATAACAAACAGCGTAGAGTCAGAAAACATGACAGGCAGGAGCACGCACACAAACATGAACAAATTTTAGTCTTAAAGAAAGAGGCAAGGATGATGATCCTTGAGGAAACCTGTTGAGCACACAATAAACCTATTAGTAAGTAATTCAACCACCCAAGAGAGAACTCCCCTCTTAGCTCAGGAAAGAGGGTTATGTGGGTTTGATGGGGAAAACAAGGATTATTTCACTGATAAACTCTGATCACTGTTTTTAAAGTGAATAGTTCGTGGTTCTTAATAACTAAGTTCAGCCCTTTCAAGTGGCTTACTATGTGGGTTGTGAAAGCATTGCTTGGTGCAGTATGAGCACTGCAGTCTGTGCTGAGTGCATGCCTGCATCAAAAAGGAGTTGAGGAAAAGTGAATGCTTTTTTCCCTCTGGATGATTAATGCTTCTGTGCCTTCTGTTCAATTTTTCTGATTGTTACCTGAATTCACATAGAACAACCTGTTGAGTTGTTTAAACTTCTGGAGGAGAAAAACCTCCAGTTTATTTATTAACTGTTCTCTCGTGAAGGGAACTAGTGCCAGTGTCAGAGCTTCTCAGCTGTTAATCCTTGTCACCACACTAGACTCTGTCTGCCAAGACACATAAAAATAATGCCACACATATCTGAGAATAGTTCATCCTTTTCTAGTACTAGAAACATGGTTTTGGTGCATAAAGCTAGGAAGTCCTAATTAAGTTATGCCATTTTTGTTCATGTGGTAAATTCATCGCCAGCAGAAAATCTTGAGCACAAATATCCCAGTTACAGTTCCCCCAAGCCAAAAACTCTCCCTAATACAAATAGGTCATTTGAAAGTTGACTATACCATAATGCCAACTGTTTAATTACCCATTCAGCCCTGCACTGTCCAAGGCCTTTTGGCTTCAGTTTTCTCCTATTAACATGCATATTTATCAGAAGATTGATTCACATTCAGATTATGCCCAACTACAGAGCAGGACTGGGCTGTTTCCATTCCGTATTTGAATTTCTAATGCTCCTGAAGTATTTTAAATGTGTAATTACATGACACATAAATCACTGTAGCACAGTACCTCCACACTATTTCCTCAGTTCTCAAGTCTCAGTCCCCATTCATCAGCCACTACATCGGTATTTTCAGAATCAACTCAATTCATGCAACTCTGCTCCTTAGGGCTCCTCTAGCAAACTGGACTCTTGCTGCTCAGTTAGAAATTACTTCTCCCATACAGTTATGCCCTCTAAGCCACATTATACCAGTTGACAGAATCCTTGCTCATTTACTCTTTTTATGATTTTCAGTTTACATGTTTCAGTCACTTGGTAGTACCAAATGTCATTCCTTATGTAATGCTTAAAAATATCTCCATGGCTTGTTTCCATCTTTATTTAAGGACTAATCACAAGCAATTTTTATTAAAAAGGGGGGGGAGGGGGGGGGGGGTGGAGGGGGACACGACACTGTGGTGGATGTTTGGGTTTTCTGCTTACGGAGTACTCCTTGTATATATCCAAAATCATTCTATTTAGAAGTCAGTCTATAGAATTTCATCTTCTGCATGAGGGAGACTTAGTTACTAAAGATCTCCAGCCCTCCATCATCTTCAAATGTCTCAGCTGATACTGGTTTCTGCTCTGTCCATACTCACTGATGCAGCTGCAGACTGACTACATCCTCACATATATTAATTTATGGAGATGAGGGAATTTGGAAAACATTAGATTCTCTCATACTCCAACACTATTGTGCATGGGGTGGTCTCTTTCTGTATTTTGAGGTTCTGGCTACTCTGTCTTCTGCCAGCACTGATGAACCCAGTATACTGACTCAATGGACATGTTAGCCTGATTTTGTAGAGCCAATATCCACCATTGAGCACCACCTATACCCCAAATTCTGCTTTCCCTGTGCCAGGTGACATTTCCTACCCACCAAACTCTCCATAATGCTCGACTTCAAGAGCTTTGTCTTCTTCCAGCTACTGTTCTTGTCACCTATCTGACCTTGCTGTGCACAACATTGACAAATTAACCAGCACTTGGCAGAGCTTTTCTGCTTTTCCCGAGTATTTTGAGCCTGGCAGAGAAAGCATGACATGGGCAGAGGAAATGGAGAACAAGCGCAACAGGTAACAGCAACACACAAAGCGGCAGCTTGGATTGAGGCTGCAGGCAGAAAACAGGAGAATTTGAAAAGTTGTCTTATCTGCAAGAGGCTGGGAGAAGAAGGAGACACCTCCTTCCCATCAGTCTGCCAGGTAGATGATGGCAGTCTTGCAGGAACTGAACCCAAATCACTAAGAACTGTTTGGGTTTTGGCCACCAGCTCAAAAGTGTGAAAGCTCAGGCTTCTGCTGAAGATGGTACCGTAATTTGGCTACAAATAATTCAGCAGGGCATCTGGGAGGAATGGGCTTTCTACTCACACACCAATTTAATTGCTTTGTATTTTTAACTGCAAAGAAGCTTCAGAAATGAATTTTTCTCAGAAGGCTCCTGAACATTATGTGAATATTAATTATTCAATTCTCAGCCTCCCAAAGACATTTTCATCTCTAATAGCCAATTTTCAGCCTCTTCCTGGAAATATTCTCCTGTTTTCCTAAATAAAACATCCTATCTAAGAAGTAATTATTATTTTTTCTAATGAGTCCAATGAAAATAGGATTTCAAGCAATGTGTATAGAATAAATATATTTGTTTATATTCAAGCAGGTATTCTTTAAAATATGATAATTCTTCACCACTATATTTTCTTTATAACATGTAAATGAGCAAGAGAGAAGAAAGGCTATTTTCAGTTTTCCAGAGATACATTCTGTTACTTCTATTACATACCTCTGCCTTCTGTAGTTTCTTTCCATAAAAAGAGAAGAGAAAGAAATACAATTAAATTATCAGTATGCAGGTATACATGGTTAAGACCAAAAAAAATAAATAAATAAATAAAAGGAAAATATATACATATATATATATACCTACGTGTATTAACTTTTCTTATTAACTTTTTTCTCAATATTTTTTTCTACAAAAACCATTTTGAAATAAACATTCATAAAGCACTAAAGCAGAATAAATGAGGAAAACACATTTATGTTGATGGCTAAAGTCAGTGCTCAGTTGGAGGTGCAGTTCATGATGAGTTTAAGTCTATTTATTGTGATGTTGCTAACGAAAAGTTCACTTTTGCCCTCTACCTCCAAAAACTAATCCCTCTGGCTAGATTTGATTCTCAAACTAGCCCTTAACTTCCAGAGCTGTATTCAAAATATAAGCCCAGATTTTCGGATACTGCCAGAAGTTGAGCAATGCCAAGCCCTGGGGACTATGTAATGGCTAGAGCACTGCCCACAGCTGAGCGTGCCCCAAGAAACCCACTGAAGGATTTTGACAGCCATGCTCACCCTACACAGGTAACAAAGTACTTAAAATCTTTTTTTTTAATATATGCAAAAGAATGAAAACCTTCTGGGTTTAGATGAAATTCACAAAATGAGAAAAACTGGAAAAGCACAATCAGATTAAAATAATCCATTTTGACCTTCAGTGAGCAGAACACTTACAGCTCTGTGCCAGGCAAGAACTTGAACCTTTTTTTCAAATGACAGGTCTCTCTCTTTCACCAAAAAACATGCTTGAATTAATTTGGGATTAAGCTGACTAAATACAAATATCTGCTTAAGGAAACCTATGGTTAAATACTTTACTGACTGAAGGCTAATCTTTCTAAATTTACATTGTCAGTACGAAAGATTTGTGATTGAATCAGACTGTACTCTTGCATTTCCTTTGTCAGATACAATAAAATCATAATCTAAACACCTACAAAAAGAAATAAAAGAAACAGCTAAATATATTTCAAAACTGGATCAAGCCCTCCAAAAGCAAATCCACATATACATGTAAGAATTGTTTGAGAAATTAGCATTTGTAACACTTTTGAATATTATAAAAGGGTCACTGTACAAATAAAATCACATTTTGATTTTTTATTATATATTTGAATTGTTGCTTTCATAATGTAACCAGCTATCAGATGAAATAAACATATTTTAACTGCATTAAAAAAAAAACTTACTTACTTGTAACCCCAAGCAGTTATTCCTAAAACGAGAGCCAACACTAAAATGGTACCAGCAATAGCCCCAATTATTATATTTGTGCTAACAACACCTGGAAACACAAAAAAGGGGAAAAATATATAGGGTTTTAGAAGAAATATATACAAAAAACAGTAAATGTTCTGTCTTTCAAAAAACCTGCTTGGACAACTTGTCCAAGGCAGGCTGATTGTAAGCCTGCCTGATTGTGAAGGCTAATTGTAAACAGTGATACACTTGTGAAGTATAGAATGGACATAAAAAGATCATCTGTATATCCAGTTTTGACATATCCAGTTTTGACCTCTGTGTCTGTTTCCCATAACAGAACACTTGTTACTTGGGAAAGTTGTGCCATGTATACCAATATAATGTTATCAATATAAAACTGCTGTAGCTTACAACCATATAACCTCTCTGGTAAATGCATGCTTATATTGGAATAAAAAGGACTTTTTGTTTTTATTTAAAAATTTTCTATGGCTGAATAACCTAAAAAAAGACCAAAACTGATATTCTGGAAGATGGCAAAACTGCCTCACAAAGGGATTTATAATGACTATAGATAAAATTTACACCTTCTTTTTTTCGCAATACATCTTCCTCTTGTATGCAAGCCTGGAGAGGAATAAAAACTTTCACTCAAGAAAATGTAAAAGACTAAAGTAGAGACTAAAGACTAAAAAGACTAAAATTTGTGTGTTAACATTCTATATAGTATCCATGCAATAAAAAATGACTCCACAAATAAAAATTAAACATGTTAGTAACTTCACCTAGATATGAGAACCAGTAAATTTTTGCTTATCCTAATTTATCAATAACACTTAATAAGGCCACTCAAATGCAAGCAAGGTACAACCAGATGCATTGGTGCCAGTCCTGAGAGCTGTATGTACCAAGTGCTCATCAGTGGCACTGCTCACATGCCTGAGACCTCATTCACAGACACTGAGTGCATCTGCTGAGCCAGGAAGGAAGGGAATAAGGCTTTTAACAGTGCATCATGTTGCATGCTAGCTGAAAGAGTGGAAGATTTAGTTTTTGCTTAATGAACCTTCCTCAAATCCAAGCTTTTCCAATTATTGGTAAAAATGATAACTTCATACCTTTGTTGATGGCATCTTTATCAAAAAACATATCATCCTTGATGCGAGAACTGCAGTCATCTCCTCCCCAGAATCGGTCACAAACACATTTTATTTCATTGCTACAAACCTGTAGCCAAAAGTGCAGCTCAGAATAAAATAATAAAATTCATCTATTCCCATAATTAAACTACAGTATATGTACAGTGAAACAGCACTGACTTTAACTACCTGCAAATTTCTGCAAAATATTTTTAATATATAGCAATTTTTAAATTACATATTAGATATAAATATATTAAATGTATCATTATACATTATATATAAATATATGTAATATATTGTAACCTATTAGGAAGTGTATCACATGATGGAATACATTAAGTACATTAATATGTTGCTTAACATAATATAGAATTAATAGAGCCATTTATAATTGCTTTGGGAGACTGAACATCAACTTTTTTTTTTTTTTAATATGATGAAGTGGTTAATTTCAGATAATAAAGGGAGTTTTCATGCAGCGCAGAAGACAAAAGATGTTATGAGAGAAGGATTCCTTTGACCTCAGCTCAGCTATGGGGACCTGGACACTGTTTCAAACTTTGTGTGAGACACAAAGGGACTTGCCAGGGCCACAATAAAGCCGTAGGTTCTGCACTGAGCAGAAGAGCTGCCCTGCTAGCAAGGTGCCAGCTCATTGTTTTCTTCTCTGAAGGGAAGTAACCCTCAGACAACAAAATCCAATGACTTTGTGAACTTTCCTGGCTGTTGACACAATAAGAAGGGAATTTAAAACAGGATTTGTAAGAACAGAGCCCCAGGTTCCTCAGAAATGGGCAATAAAATCTTTATATGCTCCAGAATGTTGCACAAGGAAATATTATTAAGTTAGCTAAAGTAATGGCAAAAGCAATGGTTGGTAAGATTTTTATAAAATTAAGGCATGCGACTCATTGTTTAGGATGCCTGGACTGCAAGGCATTGAGTTTACTTCTATGCCTCTTCCCCCTTGCCTTTTCGAAAGTTTCTTCGGTATTAAGACTTGTAGAGTCATGCTGCTGGCTTCCCACGAGGCCTAGCTAGTCTACTACACAGCACTGTGTACTCCTCAAGAATGGATAGAAGGAATAAAGGGTATGAGAACATACACCATGTCCTGAGCAAATTTGGTTGTCTGTGGTGCCTGGGCAGGTGCTGAAGTTGAAGGACTCAGTGGGGAGGCAGCGATGCTCGAGGCACACCATGTTCGGCCCGCACGGCGTCCCATTCTCCACATAGCCCAGGTCTGTCTCCTCATCGAGCTTCACATGGCCGCCACTGCAAGACAAGAAGAGCACCCCAGAGACTTGTGCTGTTACCAGACAGGACTGCTTGAGAAACTGGGCTCTGGGCTGCTAGCTGCTACCTTCATTTCTGTCTCCTTTATATAATGCCCAGGACCAGGGAAGAATAAGCATTGGCTTATTCATCTCACCAGCCTTAACGTAAAACAAATTACAATGGAGTATATCTACATCAAACAAATATAATGGTGAACACAAAGACCATTTTTCTTGTATAAGAGTTTGTGTTGTATAAAACATTGATTTTAGATGTGTAGGACTTTGCTTCATCTTACAGCTGTGAGAAGCTATGAGAACACACCAGGTCTATAATTGGGATTCAGTTAACATATGGCAATGTATTAAGCTGCCAGTTAGTTTTGGTAATGCAGCACATGTCTAAGTATTTTCAGTACATTTAGTACCCTACAAACATTAAAGAATGTAGTATGAAGAGGCCAGAGAAGAGAATTATGTCTCTATAGGCAAAACTGACTACCATACAGAGGGGTCTGCAAAACAGCTGTGCTCCCCACACACAGTCAAGTTCCTGAAGTTTACCAAAGCTTGAGCTGGAATAATGATTAATGGGACTTTTTTTTTTTTTTTAATCAAAACATTTGTTCTCTACTTAGGAATGAGAAAGTTGCTTTTCCATGCAAGATGGATATTAATTGTTCTATTTTCAGGATTTCCAATTACCTGCAATTGTAGACTTTTCCAAATTGCAAGACAGATGATGTGATTTCACCATCAAGTTCTCCAAGCCTGGGCACACTAGATATATTTGAGCACAGAAGGTATCCACAAAGCACATCCCTGTATTGAGAGAATAAACAGACGCTCACCAAAAAAAAAATAATTAAACTAAAATGCATGATCAAAAAATGTGCTTTTGTTCACTTGCTTTGTATCATGTTTGCTATTCCTTGCTTTTCTCTCACTGACAGTAACTCCCATAAATAATGTCCCGTTTCCCACAAAAATTATTCTCCTCAGCGCTTATACTGGGGGAGGAGACTTTTTACGATGCAATATCAAAAATGCTCTGCAAATGGGGAACTGTCAAGAACAAATCACATCAAACTGATTTAATATCCTATAAAGATACAGTAACTGCCCCACAGAGAAGTGGTACCTGCTGTTTTTAGACAAACATATGACATATGCAAGGAACTAGAGACAGATGCTGAAGGGACTTCACAACTTGTGTGCAGAGCCTGGTGCGTTGTCAAAATAGAAGGCTCAGGTCTTTCCCATGTTACGATGTGTTTTAGTCAATGAGTTGTAATGGAACAAAATTAAGGTTCTCAAATCTGTACAGAGAGCTGGAAAAGGCCATTAGTTCACGTGTAGGCAGGATTAGAATTTATACAGCATTGACAAAATAAAATACTGAAAAAAACAGGATGCAGTTTGGTGAGGCCTGGAGAAAGGTTTACAAGTGGGCAGAAATAATCAGCTGCATAAACACAGAATGTGAAATACCAGCTTAGGCAGCAACTTGAAAGAAAAGATGTGGAGGGTTACAATACAATGAAAACTGAACAAAATTCAGCTATGCAAAGGCACAGCAGAAAAACCACACAACATTCTGGGATGTGAAACAACAGGCTACCTCTAAGGCACATTGAATAATCTCTCTGCTCCCTTTTGCCATGCTAGAACCACCAAGAGTACAAGGACCACTTTTGGTCCAAGTGTTCCCAAAGCTCAGATGGTGCTCTCTTGCTTGATATCAACTCATTTTGGCATTCCACTCCCTCAAGACTTTCCGGCACTATGGTTTGCAGAAGGTGACCTCAGGTCAGGATAAGTCTGTTCAGTACAGAGGCTTTTTGAACCTCTTCATGACATCTAAAGAACTGGAGCAGGGATAAAAATCCCCCACCAGCTGTTTCCTAAATGGATCAACTTACTGTTTATTGCACTGTATCCAAGAGTCCTTGTCTCTCCCACAGTTTCCTTTCTCAGTCCCTTCAATATTCAGCTTCTCGTAGCAGTACCTGTCAGCAGCTGTCACTTCTAAAAATAGAAACAAATATCTTCTAAGATGATGAAGACTTTGAAAAGTGAAGTCCTGGGAAATGGGGATACACAAAAAATGGGGAAAGCTTCCCAATCTGTCAGCTGCAGTATCATGGTCTGCAGGTGGGCAGTGGAACTCTGCGCAGTAATATCAATGAAAAGTTTTATGCTGGCACACAGGATTGTTTTAAGATTTTGTTCAGATTGATCAGGTTCATTGGTCCAAAACGCCCCAAAGCTGCTGAAATAAACCAATAAATATGAGTATAGGCTTCCTAGGTGGTTGTTAATGAGGAGTTAAACATACTACTTCAGAATAATACCAGTAAGTTAATCAACGCTAGAGAGAGCTGGAAAAGAGAAGAAAAAGACAGAGGACAGGGGCATAGAGGGAGTTATGTTTCTCTTTTAATCAAAGCTAATCAGCATCAAAGCATGCTCTGGAAGCATCCCATTAACCGTGAAGCCCACATAACCTCATATCCTTACAGGAGGTGAATTGCTCACACGAGACCTCCAGGTGTTACCATTCAAGTAATCCTGCTGATCTGAATAAGCTTTCAAAAGGCAACGATCTGTTTGAGTGAGACTCCAAACTAAATTTGAACTCCCATCTTTCTGTGACTTGCATGAGGAACTTATCTTAAGCGTTGGCTGCATTCCTATGATTTCCCAACATAATGAATTCATTCAACATGCTTTTCATCTACCAAAGGTCCTGTGTAAACATGTCACCAAAACTGTTGTAGTCTGCACACTATTTATATAACTGTGTAACACATCTGGTATCCAATAGTGGTATTTCATGGAACCATACAGAAATTCCTGCACACTTTCAACACAGCTAAAGACATAAATGACATCTTTTTGTACTGCAATGCAACTTAATTCATATTTTCCAGTCTTGGAAAATGATTCAAGCTCTCCTATAGCTAGAACATTGCCAGTCAAACATAAAGCAGTAGAAAGTAACTACAAACTAGAAAAATAACTACAGATATCATGTGCTTGATAAGATGATTTAATTTATCATCCAGACCAAAAGAATCACTTACTTTTACCTACTGGTGAGCATGGTTTTCATACATATGTAAGTTCTTTTGAAATTCCAGTTTTTGCTGAATGATGGCAAAGAACATATTGTGCCCCATAAAAATATTTTCAGCACCCAACAAGCATCATTCCAGAAAGCCTTGTCTTTGAACAGGGATATGCAGCCTATGTGCTGGACTGAGAGCTACCTTTATTGAGCATCCAGTACAATTTCTTTGATCTTCCTTACATTCCAAAATAGGCTGCAGGTCTAGCTAATGAATAGCTTATGCCAAAAAAAAAGTAGCAATGGACTTGCTATCTAGTGAACTAGGTGATGTACTCAGTACTAAAACATCTACAATCAGTCACGCAAGAAACAAACAAATGATTACTCAAAACAAAACAAAACAAAACAAAACAAAAAAACCCTCAAGGACAAAATTCAAAATAGAGCATAATTCTGGCTCACAGCCAATATTTTTCATAGCATACAGTCCTGGATGGTTTTAATAATTCTGAATAGGCCTCTTCCCATAATTTTTCTTATTTAAGATAATTTTTCAAGCAGTATGAACAACCAACTTAGAAATATTAATATTTACTCACTTTCACCCCAGATATATTTACACTGACGGTCTCTGGTTTTACATCTTCCCCCAAAACAAATGCCCTAAAAAGAAAGAAAAGATACAGAATAAACTTCAAATAAGTTGCTTTTCAAAAAAGGATGTTTAACTTGCCACCTTTTCTAGTGAGGCAGCTAATGCATGACTCTACTTTCTATTCATTTAAATGCTTAGCTCCAAAATTTGACCAGCACCTCAAATTCAGGAAAATCGATAGCACTGTCTCAAGTGACTTACAAAGATCTCAAGCCATATTCTATAAAAAGTAATCCATAAAAGCAGTAAGAATGTAAAAGAAATTGAAATTGTATTTACCTGCTTGTTATCACATGAATATCCATCCATTTTATGAATATTGGGAGAACACTATTGAAAGAGAAAATAGCTAATAGATCATTCAGACAAGCTTGGAAATGAAGTGTACAACAAATGGCATATGGAAAATTATTTCATTTTCATGTTTTCTTCTGGGCTTACACCAGATTTAATACATTTTTTATATACCTTACTATACAAAACAGTAACATTCATAGTGACTGAAAGACTACCAAGTTGGTTTTTTTTTGTTGTTTTTGTTTGTGTAGTTGGTTGGTTGATTAGGTTTGGTTTGTGTGGTTTTTTTCATCTCTATGATATAAGATATAAAAATCACCTGACTGGAGTTTCCTGTGCAGTTCTCTGCAATATCACAGTCATTCACTGCTTCTCGGCACAAAACTCCTTTAGGTTCAAACTGGAAAAAAAGGACAGAAAATCATTGTCTTGGTTTCTCCATTGCCTTAAATGCAATACTTTCTTTGTGACATAACTAAAATAAAAAATAGGAAATTTTCAGGTGCTGACTGAATTGGGAAGATTTTCCTTTCCTCAGTTGGGATGTTGCACCACTCAGGCCATAGGCTGCTTGCTGGTGCATCAAGCTCAGGGACAAGCAGGATGAGTGCTGTCCTGGGGCCCATGACCCTAGGACCTATCACACCAACGCTCCAGTGGCTTTTGGCATTATCCTGACCAGGCCATTCCACACTTTTGTGATTCTTTCACTCTTTAAACTGAGTTGTCTTGACCTTCTTTGTGAATTCACTTAAGATCTATGGATCAAGAACACTATAAAGCTATTCGTATAATCATTATGATTATTACAAAGTCCCATTCCTGTTATAGGACAAACTATTCATAAATACATTGAATTCCATGTGACTTGACAACAACTTCTAAGTCACCAGATAATTAACGATGAAAAATGTACCGATGAGCATGTATGCGTTCACAATCTGGTTAAAGACTGCCACTGTAAAGCCTCAAGACCTGTAAAAGCAGGAAGACATCCCACTAAGGGCAGCTGTTATGGTCATAGGCATACTACAGAGTCCTTACTTTCCCTGGAAGGTTTCTTAAGCCTGTGCTACCCAGATCATTCTGCAGCTGTGCGACTTTTGCTGCATCTGCATGCACTGGGGTGTTGTTTGGGACAACTGCTATCTCTGCAGCTGGTGTGAGCAAGTACATGTCAGTGGAAGAGCAAGACCCTGGTTCTTTCTCAACCTTCAGCTTATCTTCTCTCTACCTGTCTGGAAAAATGCAGACAATAATGTCAGAGATGCTACAAGATGCTGGGATGTGCACTCACCAAGTTTTGCATGCAAGTCCCTTTTTCATTCTTCTTTTCAGGCAGGGTACAGCAGGGGGAAGATAATGTCAAGTATGGGAACTGCTAGTATAAGGGCTTTTGAGCTGTCCTGCTTAATATCTCCTAGCGACATGTGTTTTATAAAAATCTGCCCTTCTCCTCATTTGCTCACCTTCACCATTCTGTACATAGACAAGCCCTTGTCTCATTTGCAAAGGAAAAAAAAAAGTATATATTTTTTTTCTGAGAGTCTTTAATATGATGCCCATGTGACAAATACTTGAACAAAATTCACCCACACTGGCAATCTGCTATTTTTTTTATGTTACATTAAAAAAAGGAATGCGCTTAGGCAACTGTGATCGGTTCCAGCATTATCTGTGCTTTTTCTTTTTTTAACATTCGGATGAGCACAGTCGAGAATGTGGTCTGCAGTTATTATTAATGTTCCTCCCAAGGAAATGAAACCCTCAAATGATGAGATAAAAATATCACACATAGTACACCATCACCATGCTAACATCATTAATAATAATTAACATTATTATTAAATGAGCATCAACAATTATTTGAAGCCATATTAAGCTGGGCTCCCTCACAGCCAAGATCTAGCTAAATCTGTTTTACTGTTTACTGATGTATCAGGAAGAATATCCTATGGTTTACATAGGGCTTGATTCCCTTTCTTTGGTGGGATTTCAGTCAGTGCAAACATAAGGAGATGCAGGCAGACCTAACTGAAATTGAAGTCAGGTGTCTTTTAGATGAATATTTCTGAATGCTTCTGCTAGATTATTTTTTTTTCTTTATTTCTTTCCTTCTTTCTTTTTTTTTTAACCACATCCTCTTCTCAGGCTCTTTGTGGTATGATTTTCCCATTCAGCCTCACAGGGACAAATCCAGAGCAACGCATCATGCATTATGGGAGTGACATAAAGACCAAACATGTTTGAACAATAATGTCTGATAAAATGTCACAGGACTTCCTCAGATCTGAAACTGGAAGGTTTAGATTCTCCTCTGTTTGACCAGAGTCCCTGCCCCAAAAAGCCAAATCTAAAAGGCAGGGAACTGCCCCAGAACAAAACAGTTTTCAGACAGTTTTAAAAGGCAAGCTTTCAGAAAAGAAAACACAGGGTCTGAGACAAAAAACACACATGCTTTGGCGCCTGCAGTCAGCTGGCTGTGCTGCTGCCTGGAGGCTGCACTTACCCGACACTTCCGACAGCAAAGCCCATTGCTGCACTGGGAGCCTGCCGTCAGGGTGCACGTGTTGCAGCACTCTCCTCCTTCACTGGCACACTCCTGAGGAACACAGACACTTGTAGCAGAATACATGAGAAAAGCAGATAAGCCCCACACCTCTCGTATTCCATCTTATCTTAGTATGCTACCCAAACAGATTTTTAACCAGGCTTCTAGGCACCTGGAGGCAGAGGAAAGCATGCACTGTGGGGCATGAAGATGCTGCACAGCTGTTTGCTGTGCAATACAATAAATCATTTTCCTAATTTCACAACATCAATCATTAAATACTGACATTTGAACACTGACCAGAGACATGTTTCCATCAAGTAATATACTTTATAATTTTTAAGGCCTGATTTTGCATAGGTAGCTATTTCTATTATTCTTTAAAATTGATGTGGTGATAAAATATATAAGTGCTAATCATGTTGGAAAAAGGTGAAAAATTATGAATCCTTTGCTCCAGAACCTTAGCATTGCCTGTCTTCGTCCACTTAACGTTAAGAGCAGTCACGGGCAGCTCCTGGAGAATCTCGTTACTAATTTTAAGCACAATGCACTTACCGATATCGACCCACAGTCACACTCTTCTCCATCTTCCACAAAGCCATTGCCACATTCTGGAGGATCCAGAAGCTGCAGGACAAAATCGGAAATCAAAGGGCATGTCTCTCCCAAGGAAATCAGTGTCACACTTTTTCCATACAACATGTTTTATATAGCTAGAACTACAAATGGCTTGATTGAAACACAGTACCGAACCCAGGGAGAAGCAGATTATAAACAAAACAGATGAAATGTGCAGACCAAACAACACTTAACTCAGCAGTTGTGCAGTTACATGGAGTATTCTGCAATGGAGTGACATTTTCACAGCAGATTCAGTTTAGGCAGAAGCCACAGTCAGAAAGAAAAGGTGTGACAGTAAAACAACATCACATTTTCATTATTGTCACAGAAGTTGTAGTCATTCTGGAATTCAAGTGACGAGGGCTGTGTCAGTTTGAATCCTGCATTATGCCTTCAGAAAGAATAACCATAAAGAATGTCATTTGGGACCACACCACATGGCTCAGAAATGCAGGGAGAGTGAAGAGGCTGGGATTTTTTGTCAGTTCTTGCTACATTCAGATGCTATTTCCTTCTCTTTTTCCTTTACCACAGTCAGGAACTTGCAGCAGTTTCCCACAACCTTGTGTCTCTGGCAGGTAAGAAAGTGTAGCTGGTGAGTCTTCTTCCCTTATTCTCTTTCCCTTCTGTCTCCCCACTAAACTGTACCTTAAAATGTCTAATTCATGGAATCATAGAATATCTGAGTTGGAAGGGACCCAGGAGGATCATCAAGTCCAATTCCTGGGTCCCCAAAGGACCACCCAAAAAAAAGTAGATCAGATCATGTGTCTGAGAGCACTGTCTGTCCAACCTGTACACTTGTAGTACTACTTTCTTTTCCCAGAGGCTAGATTCATTCACTGTGCTTTACACAGCACCCATGCTATGCTCTTTTAATGGACACTTATATTCTGTTCTTTCCAGTTTCATTTCCCTTTTCCTAAGATTTCTAAAGGTAATTCTTTGAAAAGAAAATATATTTTTTCCTTTGGGCATAAAAAAACATAATAGTTACTTTTATTGCATAAATGGGAAGGTAAAGAAGTGCATCACGAAGACAGCCTGAAATCACAGTTCTCCAAATTAAACTAGGATCATTCTACAAACCTCTCTGCTTACAAGCCATCTGCACAAGTAGTTCAGTCATGGTGTAGAGTGGCTCTCTCTGGCTACTGCCTTTCTACCAGTAGCCCACAGGATGGAGCATCACCCCACATACTCTGCCACAAACCAGTCTGTGGCACAGACTGAAAGGTATTATTGGATCCCCCAGCTGAAATGGAAATTCAACTGCAGCATGCAAAGCATGTGTAGAATGTTACATTAAATAAAAGCAAGCAATTATCTGTCAGAGTTATTAAGGAGTTGCTAAAACTGCTTGTTTCCTAAATATTTTTCCAGAAAGCTTAACTTCTTCAGTATCTCTAGGTGTGCTGCACAATGCAGACAAGTAGATGACCATAACAGAGGGTTCTGACTTAAAACATAGGGACAATTTGCTGCAGTATGCAGGTGCAACTAAATATGAAATGAAAGAAAAAAAATACATAGCTTAACCCCAAAAGTTATTATATAATTCATCTATTCATTTGAAAAAACCTTATGCTCAATCTGCTTCAGGAGTCATTAATGTAATTTTGGGGTTACAGCTGATGTTACAGTGGAGCACTGTCAAACACTGCACCTTGACACATCAGTTTTATCTCATAATTCTTGAAAAGCAGAAATAAATTGGTGTTTCACCACCCTTGCTAGAAAACAACTATGTTTGACTGCCTTGTGAATTAGACAGACATCCTTTGTTAAATTCAACACAAACCAAACAACAGTACATAGAAGAGTCTAAATCACCCTGGCTTCCACATCTGACTTTCACATTTTTCTATGTCATTAGAAAAAAATTCAAATGCCACTAATCTAAACTGAGATCAGAGTAATTGTGTTTTTCAGAGTGACAGATGTGTAAATGAACATAATCTCAAAAGCAAGCCCTAGTAAAACAGCATTACACTATGAAAAATATCCACTCAGCAAAGAAATAAAACCATCAACATCTCTCTCTCTGTCTGTAATGAAATGAGAAAAACCAAACTTCTAAAATGAAGGAACATTTTAAAGAGTGAGAAACCTTACGTCTTATTAATGTATCACAGTGCTTTCTCTCCACTTTTAATATGTTCTTCAATGAAAAGGAGGCAAAACTTTGAGAAATAAGCAGACACAGCTTATCCAGATGTCATGAATTTTCTTCCTCTCCTTAAAATTTATTGAAAATCTGTGGCTGACAGAAGATATGCTTTTCCTCAGCCACACCAGGAGGAACATGCTCACACCAGAACTGACTTTCTTTTTTATATTGTGACCATCTTGGCTACCAACTCATTTTCCCACGTTGGACTGTTTGCCTTAGCCTCTTTCCTTTGGTTTTTGAAAGACAGCCATTAAACAGAGGATGTTTAATGATGTTTATGTAGAAAAGACTCAAGATCATCATCCTGATTACTGTATGTTTTAACATATGCTTCATTAAATGGAGCAGGAATATTCTGAAACCCTGCTGCAAATACTCCATTGTAGTAAGTGCTTACATCTTGGCTGGAGTTTCTTTAGCCCTGCTTTGTATTTATTTCTCTGATATATCTCAGCTTATCATTTCATATGAATATAGCTCTTTAGCTGGACAAAGTTCAGACATGAGAAGCAAAGAAAAGGAGAATACTTTCAAGAGATTTTCCCCACTTCTCTTGATTTCCAAGACTCATGCAGAAAGAACTCTGATTTCATCCTTTAAGACAAATTTGGAGGGGACATGTCAGTCATTCAGGAGGTCCTGATGCTTTTGTAGCTCTTCCTTCCTCCCAGCAGCTTCATTGCATCTGTCCCCTGCTTCTCTCCTGCTCTGCCTCTTCCAGCATCAGAAACATTATGCCAAGTTCTCAAAATCTCTTCTGAAAGCCACTGTAAAAACTTTGCCTTCTTCAAGAAGATGACTACAACCATTTGTACCCAATGGCAGCTGCAAAGCCACTTGGATGCACAGCTGTGCACACCCTGCTGCAGTGTCTTCATCTTGAGACAAATGTGAAATAAAACCAATCTTACTTCAGCTTCCAGAGATTCACAGCCAATGACATACAGTCCAAAGTAAATTTAAATTAAAGATGTGCAAAAATTTACCAAGACATTTGAAGTCTCAGCTAATAAATTCAGCAGTATGTTGTGTTTGCAGTATTCAGAACAAAATTGCATGAGGGATCAGAGCCTGTGAGAACTCTCTTGGATATGAAACTACTTATTAAAAACAGATTTAAATATAATTTCCTAAATAGGACAGACTAAAATCAGCTAATTTCACTCAGATGTCACCAGGAAGTTTGGAATGTAAAGACAAAACAAAACCTCAAAATTAACGTGTTTGTTTGTTTCCCCAATATTATCACTTTAATTTTTCTTGGTTTCATTTAATACCTTGGTTGGTTTATTGAAAAGGCAGGATCCACCTCCATTATTTAAAAATTCATGATACTCTTCAATATCACACTTGGAGAACTTTCTTGGAAGATAATACCTGAAAAGAAATAAGGTAGCAGCATTATCTTCTATAGTGCTTTTTATAGTACATTTTCTTTCTTCAACGTAATTGTAGAGAAATATAATGTTATACATTAGAAAAGGTGCTAAAAATACACTGTTCAGCATCAGAGTGAAGATATTTGCTTGAAATTAGTTTAAAATCTTAAATAATTTTCATAAATGGCAAACACCTTTTAACAACACAGAGCTCATGAAAAGTGAGAAGTATAACAGATTTCCCCAAGTTTTATGCCAAATATCATAAATCCTATTACTCAAGGTGTAGTTCTCACAGACATGGACAGTTCCACTAAAGGGCCTGATCTCAGAAATACATTTATTTCTTCCTGTACTTACCACAAGAGACTAAAGCTGCCTTACCCACACAGTGTCCTTTTAAAGATTGCTTATGGTTCATTTCTCTCTTAGATGAAATTGCTCTCTTGAACCACAGAATTTTTTTATAATAGAGTTATACCATTTTAAGACGTGTTTCTAATGAACATCAGCTAACATTTCAGCTTCCCTCTCTTGTGCTCCACTGAATGAAATTCATTTGAGCACAGATTGCCAATCTGAGGTGCACTTCAAAGCAATATGAGCCTTAACAGATGCAAATAATCTTTTTGCATGGATCCTTTCCACAGGGAAAGAGCTCTTCCCAAAGTAACTCAAGTGATCTTTGTATTTAGCCCTTAGTCATGACTTATGCTTCAAACAGATTTTGGAGTCTCAAGGGCTTTCCTGTATCAGCTCATCACTGGATGAAAAAAAGTAATGTTAGCAGAAATACTACATAAAATAATCCTACATTACCAGGAATTATGGCTTGCAAAACATAATCTCTAGTGTTTAGGACTTAGGTCTAAATACTGAAGAGAATGTGGAATTTAACATCCTTTAATAATAATCTATATATAAATACATAGTTTTTTCGGGTGCCTAATTATTTTAAAGGTTTGGACTTCAGATAAAGAATGTAAAGAATGTTAGATGAGGAATCACTTTTTACAAGACTGAAGAATGACTACCACATTGACTTTTTAACATACTAAAAATCAGAACAATCTTACCTACCTTGTTTTTAGTTAAACAAGGTAAAAAAGGCACAACAGATTCTTCCAAAGAGCTTTAAATTAAATGAGTTTGTTTGTTTGTTTGTTTTTGTTGTTTAAAATTGTTCTGTCCAAAAAGCTATTGTGAAAATTTGCAAGTCAGATTGAATTTTTTTAAAAAAATTGGAGTACTGTTTGGATCTAAAAGTAGACTATACTTTAATTCATATGCATGAAGACAGGTCTGTAATATGAAGAATTAAGGTCTGAACACACACACACACACACACACACACTGGAAAGCATCATCAAAATCTCTCCAGTGATACTATGCGTGGATATAAGCATACCAAACCTCCAATGGCAGAAGCTTTTTTAGTGTTATTACACAAATCAGAGGATAAAAACTGAAAGCTGTAGATGAAAGACTGCAACCGAACCACTGAAAGTGAGCCATATTAAAAAATTTGATCCCAGTATTTTACAGATTGGGATGCGTCATTGTTTGTTTCCACAACTCAGCAGCAAATTCACAGAAGAAAAGAAGTGAAACATGGTTCTGCTTCTTTGCAATAATCTGAGTTGGTTGTTGAGCTTCTGTATTCAGTGAGTTAAACCAGTGATCAATACAAACTAATGATCCTCATATCCTCTCATTAACTCATTCACGCATTTCTTTGAAAGTGTCTATTATAAGTATGTTTTACAGGTAATACTTTACTTCCTGCAACATTAATCCACACAAACTAGTCCACTGAAAGACAAAAGGCAAACATTTTCATGCTTTATGTCATTGTATGCAAGACTTGACTTTCCTCTAATGAATGCCTTACCCGGTGTCTCCCATTATGCATCCTGACCACGTGTCCTCACACTTACACTCACCTGACAACAACAAAAAGGTAAAATTTACATCTTAAGTCTTGTGAGTACAAAATATGTTTCTTATCACAAAAATCACACTGTAATCAACTCACTTTCAGATTTAAATACAAATTGAAAAGAATCAATTGCTCCTTTATGCACGCCTTAAGTATATCAATGCACAATGACAAGCCTTCTTTCAAAAACAACACATGATTCTGTGCATTCCTAAGCTTTGAAAATAGGTTCTGTTTTTCTTTCTTTCCCTTAAATGAAGTCAGACTAAATTGCAATGTCAGCTTCTGGCCCTTGCAAATCATGAGTCAGCTCTCCTGCCTTCTCCCATGCCATGATATTTGATCCCCAAATGTTCAGAGGAAAAAAAAAATCAGTTTAATCCATCTTCTAAGTTTTTAGTTCTCTTCTACACCTATGCTAATGTGAATGAGGAAATTTTAGCTTGAAAAAGAAAGCAAACAATAATGCACACAAAAATGGATAACACAGACTGTAAACACGACACAGTACAGACGGATCCAGCAGCTTTTTTCCCTTCCTTCCCTACATGCTCCCAGGCATGCAGAGTGCAGCCCTCCCCTCTGCTTTCAAAACTGTCCTTTGTGCCTGCTTCTACGTATATGCTCTGCATGTATGTTTTTTTATCCTTCTGTTTCTGCAATTTGCACTACTGTAACACATGAACAACTGTTTGCTGCTCCCATTTTAATAGTACAATTAGAAAGGAAATGAGGCTCTGCCCAACAACTGTGTCTCCTCCTTCCCTACCCAAAAGCTTGGCCTTCCCCTGTGGTCAACCATAAAAAAGAGGAGCCACCTCTACTATTATTTTCACTTTCCCCCTGTCCTGATATCAGGTTAATTATATGCAGCTGGAAGATGAGTACTGAAGATGTAGGTAGCACAGAGCATCTGTCCGACATTTCCAAATATCTTTCAAAATAAAAATATGCAAACTGCAAAAATATTTGCATGCAGATGCATCTCTGCATTATGTACTGTCTTTACATAAGTACACATGATCCAATAACTAAGCATTCCAATTCATCACTGAAATAGTTTCAAAACTGTGTTGTCATTCTAATCTTCCATTGCTGCCCATGTACTGGGTCTTCGTATCATGTGAAGCAGAGCATGTGAGGTGCTTGAAGGGAGGGGGAAGATCTGAATTAAGGCAATGCAGTCAAACAGGGGTAGCTAAGAAGTTGAATGCTAAGGTTACAGTAGACAAATGGTAGCAGAAGAGTGGTAAATACAGGAGATTTGGGTCATATAGAAGAGGATTTCATTCGAGGCAAATAGTGAAAAAAGCTTTGTTGATGTTGTCAAATACAACCTGCATAACAGGATTGAGGTGACTTATCATAATCCATAGATTTAAAAATGTCTGTCTATCTACCTTCGCATTGTAGGATGGCAAACATTCAGTTTGGGAATATGACATCAATCTCCATGACATGAATGTTGACAGACACCTTCAGGATTTATTTTTAATGAAATGAAGACACCAGTGCTACCAGCAGTTACGGGCAGGAGGAAATCACAGCATTTAAAGAAGAAAAAACAATGGTGTGTCATTGTCTCCTCATGTTATTATGTGAAAAATAATAGTATTCCAATATTGAATAGTATATTTATATTCTATTCATAGAATGGTTTGGGTTGGAAGGGACCTTAAAGACCATTCAGTTCCAACTCCCTGCCATGGGCAGGGTTGCTACCCACTAGATCAGGTTGCTCAGAGCCTCATTTAACCCATTCTTGAACACCCCCAATGATGGGTCATCCACAGCTTCTCTGGGCAGTGTGAGAAACATTTTTAACATATAAAAGAACACTGTTAAGATTCTCCAAGATTTTCTCTTGAGACGGGGTAAAAAAGCAAACCAACTTACCACTTATTAGTTTTCTTCTGTCTGAGAAAATGCCAATATTTTGGGCCAAGGTTTGTGCCAGGGTAACTGCCATTAAGTCTGTCTTTCCAAACTGAAAGAAATTAGCAAGGTAGGAAGAGTAATCAGATAGGTACAAGTATCTCAGACACAGGTGAAGCTTTTCTCATGTAAAGGCAATGAAAGGTGAAACAAGATGCACAATGGTATAGTTCTTACTTCAGATCAGCTAGAATATGGACAAGTGAGGAACACCAAACACTGGCTTATGAACAAGTTAAATAAGAGAAAGTCTGCTTGTTTCTTGCCATTGTGTGAATGGCAAGAATATTACAGTGTCAATGACAGAATATTGCAGAATCTGCTGAGAAGTGTGCTTGAACCCATATCCAACTTTACTCAAGCATCATTCTTCATTTAGATATTCCTTTTACAGAGCTGTACTAAAACTCCACAGCAGCAAAGCAGCAGTAAGATATTTCAAGGAACTGCACTGATAAATTCTGTGCAGATAATTTTCCACCACTTTTTCCTCATTCCAATACCCACACCTACCTCATTCACACCTCCGCCTTTAAGCAAGGAGCAGATTCCACCAGTGTGGGCTACACCGCTCCGACTGCTCTGGAATCGACTTCCCCTTTGACAAAAAGGAAAAAAAAGGAATTTACCCCACTCAGCCCGTGAGTTTTGCATCGACCCATCCCAGTATTTACCTTTCTAATTTCCAAATGAGAAACCAACATTTGCAAATGCCAGATGCCACCACTATGCTGCTAACTATCCAAAACCAAAATGGGAAGAACAGATAACCACTCACAAACCTCACATGACAGATCAACCCCTGAAAAGTTCTACTATCTTCCCTGTTTCTTTCCTCCTCCTTCTCATATTACCTAACATAAGAGAAAATAAGGCAGGTAGGGGACTACTTTCTATCTCACCACCCTTTTGTTCATTGACATATTCCTTCAGCAAGTGACTTCTGAAACCTGCCCTGGCACGTGCTACAGGCAGAGCACAAGACATGCCACCATGCCACAATGCACGGAGGCCTGGTAAAAAAGACATGTCTAGTTGGGCAATGCAGATGTGGCAAAAATGAAAGGGAGATGTGTCAGTGGCCCCCTGATGCAGAGCTAGGCAGAAACTCCCCAGAACTGCAGCTGACCTCATCCAGGGGACAACTGCACTGTGAGCCTAAATTTAATGATTCCTTTGATACTGACCACATCAGCAAGAATGATTGCCAGTTACCAGAGACAAAATATCCTCTATACCACTTCAGCGTAGTGATCTAGCCAAGCTGATGCAAATCAGTTTTCTCAGAGGAAAACAGAGGAACACCAAGAAACAGAATGCAATGGGCTCATTGTGCTAAACAGGAGCGTTCATTTGTTACCAGTGTGCTGTCATACTTCTACTCCCAACTCAACCATGTCTTACTCAGGAATACAACTTTAGAATTGGATATTTCAAAGCAGCCTGTGAATGCAATACCTCAAACACCAGTGGAGATAGCGTTATGGACAACTCTGGAATTAGTATTGCATTGCAATTCAGAGTCCTATCACAGGGGGTAATAGGGCCCTCTTTGTTCTAGCCAATACACTAACAGTCATGAGAACACTCCCCTCAAAGACCTTACAAGATTACCAGAAACGATACATGAAAGATTAGAAAGAAAAAAAAAATAATCCCATTTTACAGATACAGAACTGAGACACACAGAAACCAAAATCTGCAAGCAGCACTTGCAGATCTTACTAGTTCTTTTCACGTAGGAAGGCAATGACAGTAATTAAGCATGTTTAAAAAAGCCTGAGTGGCTGGATACTGGGGCTGGATATCCTGGCACCCTACTGAAGTCATGTGAAAGTGAGGAGTTTAGGCTAAAATTATTCATATAGGCTCATAAAACAGTCCACAGAGAGGGATGAGAACTCAGCAGAGCAATTCACCTGGCCTGTCTCCTGCAGATCAAAAATATCATGAACCTCTCCATTATTTGTGTGGATGTATTTTGCTATATTGATCTTACTACCAAAACAATTTGGAAATTTAGAGAAAATAAAAACCATCCCAGTTCTTGTAGTACTTGTCTCTCTGGAAGACAAACTGTTTTGAGGATCTGAAACACTCACTTCAGTAATCCTGCAGAGCATGCAGGTCATTCAATGGAAAAAAAAAAAAAAAAAAAAAAAAAAAAAAAAGCAGGCCAGAGTGCTTTTTAAGCAGAAAACCTCATGGGTTTCAAAGCCAATGTTCGGCTTTTAAATAGTCCAACAGGGCTGTCTGTGCTCTACTGCTGAAGAAGCAAACCTACGAGGTGGAACCATGCATCACCTTCTGGGCAGCCGTGTTTGCAGAGTAGGTGATTGCACAGAGCAACCCAGAATTAAGTACAGCACATGCAGCTAGAGCTTCGTACATTAAAACTAAAAGGAGAGCAAAACCTCTAGCTGCACTGGCAGGCAGGTTGTGCATTATTTAAACTTCTTCCCACCTCCCCATCAGAAACATCATTCTCTGAATTATGGCAGATTGCACACACAGCACAAAGGAGATGCATCAGCCACTCAGGATAAGCAGCCCCCAAGAAAGGAAAGAAAAATAAAAATAAGTAAGAAAACATCACACAAGGTTACGTACGAAAAAAGGTGAACTGCGTCACTTTTCTCTCTGATAAAATCCCTCCTATATTTCATAAACTCACGTAGGGTCACCAAGGGGTTTTCAGATATGGTGAACTTGTTATCAGTAGCCCAGGTTTCCATGGCAACCAACACTATCCTGGTGTTAAGTTGTTCTTTATAAATCTAGTACAGTAACAGAACAAAGATATTATGTCAAATACAGTAAAGGTGAGGGTTACCCTTTCTGTTGTACCAGGTTGCATTTTTATATAATTAAATATTCAGCTTGTTCTAACATTGGTTAGGTTCTCCCAGGTGGTTTTGTCTCCATTAAAAGCAGCAAAGGAACATGAAAACAAAGCAATATGTAGGTTTTAAGCCTACTTCTTTAATCAGCCCTCCTAGCCCACACACAGATCCCTTACAGGTCCTGCTCCCGTGGGATTTTGACAAATTGCTACAGAAACATTTCAAATAGGTCAAAGACTTGGCACCAAAGGGTCTTTCACAGTGCTCAGCTCACCCCAGTGACACAAGTATCTTTTATAACAAACAGTGATCTACAAAACCCCTGTTTTCACTGTTATACACCTCTGCAGAAGTATTTAACCCCTTGCTAGCAGCTGTTTAATGCTGGGAGTTATCAATCCACACCAAATGCTTTCCAGAGTGGGAACTAAATTTTTCTCTTTCTAGTATTGCTTCTCCATAGTGAAATGTAAAAGCCAGCAGCTCATTCTATTGAGCATCACAAATACAATCCATATAATCCATTTGTATGTCCCTATTCTAACTCATTTACTCAAATGCTGCTTCTTTGTTGTTTCTCGTTTGTTTGTTTTTGAGAAATTTTAGGGCATTCAAATTTCAGATGATTGTTTTAGATTTTAGGTAGTCAACAAATGAGCCAGTGTAAAAGATCATCCCATCTAAGGTTCTCTTAGAACTCAAACTCAAGTTTTCGATCTGATTAAAGGATACTTAAATGTTTGCAGCCACAGAAAACATCTCTAATGCTTTATGCTAAACAAAGTCTTGATACTTGGCTGAGTGTTTCTAGATGAAAATTTGTTAACATTGCATATGTTGTTATTAAGTATACCATGAAATGACAACTGCTGCATTTATTGGCAGGAGAATCATATGATTCATCTCATATGTAAAAGATTCAGTCAAGTGATACTTACTAAATCTGCCATGTTCACAACTGACTTAGCATAGCTGTTTGTGTGGCCAACTGATAAGCGGTGCTTTTTACACTGCAAAACAAACACAGATAAGTTATAAGTACAGATCTAGAAAAACATGCTCAATTTCTGGAAGAATAAAATAAAAAAAAAAAGTAACCAAAAAGTAACCATACTGACAGCAGAACCTCCATGCATGTTTTGGTCTCCTGTGCTGAATGTAATGCTAGTATGTGATAGTAGAAAATTGCTCAGAAATGCACATTACTGATATGCCTCATGACAACTGTCATGAAGATCTATAAATTCCTGTTTGGAAGCACTATTAGATTTTTACTGAAAAAATGTTGTAGGAACAGGAACCCATTGTTATTCTCTTCATTAGCTTCATTATTTGCAATTTTAAAGGCAATTTCCAAATGCCAAAATAGAAATTAACAACAACACTTCCATAGATGAGTTTTGTTTATAGGTGTTACCATAACAATGCATGTAACTGTATTCCAATCTATCAGATTTCTTTTTTTTTTTTCCAGCTCCCTCTCTTAGACTGCCTTCTGCATTTCTTAATTTACAATATCACTTCTTATCATTTCTTAATTTACAATATTTTATTGATTTTTTTATCAAAAAATCTAGTCACTACTAATCTCCCCACTGCCAACAGCAGCTGCACAACTGCAGTAATTACATTATTGATTGCTGAGCTGCTGTAACTAAGACATGTGCTCAAGAAAGCCCAAAAGAAAGCCATCAGCTTAAATCCCGCTGTCATTAGTCACCTTCTTGACACAAAGCTTTAATTTATGATGCTTTCTCTGATACTCACGCCTGGTTTGCCTGAATTCTTGGTGAAATTACCTTGCTAAAATTCAGACACATTTTCACCAATGGCTAACAAGACCATTAGCTCTTTGCTTAAGGATATAGTGAATTTATTCTGGCTATATGTTGTCTTTTTATTGCTTATTCTTTATAGGACAATTAAGACAATTTTATGTTACTGATAAATGTAAGATATTGAGGTATGCCAGTCTTACCATTAGATGATCATTTACAATCATTAACTCAATATATTTTGTTTCTTCATCAACTTTACGTGGAATCTGACGGACCTACAGAGAGAGTATAACCATAAGAGAGTCTATGACACAGAAAGCATAACTGATAACTAGAAACAGCTTCAGAAAACTTCTCACGCATAATTTTTTTCATTGTCTTAATTCTGTTCTCAGATACCGATGATACTTCTGGTGCTTGGTTACATCATCTTAAAAAATTCTTAAATGTACCCTATTTATTGTATAATCAATTGTATGTGTGCATGTTTGGTCAATTACCTGGTTTAACAGGTAGTAAAAATGAGTGAAGCTATTTACTGTGCAACTGATTGGGATATTTTTTGGAGGGTGAAAAGGAATGGACTGCATTATTTTTTTCAAATATATAGTCCCCATATTTCACCTCCTCCAGAACATTTATATAACTTTAAACAATGAAATTAAGTCTTATAACCCAACCAACTCCAAGTTTTGTCTTTTTAAAGACAAACCCCAGTGGGGCCCACATCTCTAAAAATGGTTTGTATGATCTATAAACTTTTTTTTAACTAAGAAAGGAATCCCTCCTGAGGTTCTTATGCAAAAAATTCTGTGTATTATTTATTCGCACACTGCTTGATTCACACAGTGAATGCAGTACCCACCTCTGTCTTACACACTTACTTCTCATTTAGAAACATTTATTGAAGTGCTTCTCCATGGTGTCCTCATTTTCTGATTTTTTTTTCCAGGAGAGTTATTACATCATTATAAGTTGAAAATGCCAAGTAATGGCTAGTTTATAGAAAGGCAGTAAACCACCTGATGTAAATGAAGACTCACAGGAATGATTTCTGGAATTTCTCCAATGTCTTTTTCACTTCTCTGCCTCTGAGATGCTTACGTTAGTCAGAAATGTTAAAGTTACCTTCTCCTCCCACTTCTGTCAGCATTTCGTCTTTTCCTGCACTGTTCAGACCCCTGACCCAGCCCTATTTTGACCTGTCCCATCATTTTAGCTCTATTCCTAAAACAAGGAACTGCTGTTGTCTTTGCAGAGCACAGGTACAAAGTTAACGTCTCCTCCCCTTTGACAAATGGGGATTGAAATCCCAGTTCACAATATTTATTTTAAATCAAAGTGACATAAAGTAGCTACTTGTCTTCACTGCAACATAAATACAATTTGTAAATGTTTCATTGATTTGGAGTTTCTGTGTCCAAATTGGGAGAAAATATTTTAGATATTTTTTTTTTTTCATTCGCAATTTAGCAATGTTTAACAATTTCATAACATTGACAGAAATGCTATTTTTGAGATTCAGCAGCAGATTAAATGGAGCCTAGAGGAGGAACTGCCTTGTGGGTTTTTATAAATATAAAGGGATGGGGATGCTGTGCTTAGCCACACATGCATGCCGCAGTCTATCCAGTGAATCTCTTGAAACTGACACTTTGGTGGCACCTCATCAGAGGTGACAGCAAAAGTGCTCAACTCTTCAGGTGGGCAATGTCAAAGAGAAACCTTGTCAACATTAGATACCTCTTTTCTTACATCTGTATCAGGATATAGAGACCTCACGCCAGTTCAGAAGCAGCAGCAGGACTCCATCTGGATGAATTAATTCAGTAGACACAAATAAACTTGATGGCATATTACTTATAAATGAGCATATTGGCACATACCTGCCTTCTACTTCTTTTGTGTCTTGGCTTTACAACAAACTTCTGTGATGTAGCATTCATTTGCCAGAACTCTAAGCAGAAAACACAGGCAAATACACTGAGTGTTTACAGAAATACATCCCCACAGTTAGTGACCCTGATGCATCATGACAGTAGTATGGCATTCCTCCACACATCAGATGCGATAACAACTCCTTTTTCCAAGATTCCTGCTAGAAAGGAGGCAATGGTACAACTGCTTCCCAGTAACAGGGTTCTTATTTAAAAACCCTCCTAGTGATAATCTGGGTCTGCTGAAACAGATGATCTGGAGGTGTTGCGCTTCAGAAAGCACAGCAGCTGTTCTGTGCCAGAATTTCACCAATACTGGGGCTGTAATATTATTAGCACAGCCCTTCCATGGAGTGAATCACATTTTGGGGAATTCAGCAGGCATTCAGAGCTCTCACAACAGCTACCTAAATTAATAAGAAGAGCATGGAAGGCAGAATTAATGCTTTAAGAAGATTATATTCACAAAGTAAAACATGTTAAAATTGGGAGAAATGTTGCAGGATTTTGGCTATGCTCCTTGTCAATACAATGTTCTTCCCTTTTAATCCCACTGTGTCTTTAATTTGTTAAACCTCTAATCATAAGCACCAAGTAGATTATTCTTTGGCAAATCCCTTTTGCCAAATCCATTACTAGCCACTTATGGCAAGGGACACATTATAAGCTAGAAGGAAGATGACACTTGATCTCACCCTTTTAAATGTCCAAGAAGTATTTTTCCATCTTTGCTTTTAGATTGATAGTCTCTCCTTCACTTTTCCCTGTACAACAGCAATCCTTATCTCACATAAATCCTTATCTCGTATAAATATGTTTACTATTCACATACTCTCTCAAAGATCTCTTTTGAGACAGAAATTGTTTTCAGTTGCTTATTTTGTAATCTGACTTCTTCCTTTGCCTAGTTTTCCTCTGTATTTTATCTAACATTGGACATTCTTTTAGCCCAGTTGGGGTTGAAAACTGCAATATTCCCTGGTAACTTACCAGTCCTGCAGAGAAGCAGACAGTACTATAGGAGTTGCGTAAAACAAGGGACTTCCAGTTCACATACCTTTGTATACAACTTTTGATTGTGTTATAAAATCCTAAATAATTCAGTTCCATTAGTGAGTACAGGAGGTTTCTTACAGCTCCACCTCTCATCCTAGAGCAAATTAACTGCAATTTCTATAGGAGGTCAAAATAATAGGATTCAACACAATAATGACTGGGACTTCATAGGGCTACCCCGTCAGCAAAGGCTTAAAATGTGAAGTTGAATTGCTCGTCTGACAAAACTATACCAGGGATATGTACTAATCTTAACCTGGAGTGGCTGTTTACTTATAATAAAAATCATGAAAGCAAAGCTTGACTAACTGTTATAGTCTTGGCAAAGTATTTTTTTGGTGTTTGAAGTTTGCAGATACCCTTCTATGAAGGGGCCTGGACAATCATAGGCCCTTTGCTTAATGATGCTTTTGTGGTTACACAGGTGCACTTGAAGATTTTGTTTCCTAAAATAAAGACCTAAATAAAGACCTAAAATAAAGACCTAAAATAAATTAAATGATATCCAAGGGTTTATTGCTTATATACCTGGAGTCTCTTGAGCTCAGAATGATGAAAAAACAAAACTATTTTTTTCAACAAATTCTGATTTGATTGTGCTTTAGATACATTGATTAATTCAGTCTGTGTTCTAGTGCTACACAATTGACTGTCAACCTTTCATTTTCAATTTTATATCATCATTAATGAAACTGGTAAAAATACAACTTCTTAAACAATAAAATAGTAATTTACAATATGTGTATGGGATCTCAGATAACTCGACCATGAATTTTCCCTACCATCGGAAATCACCCGTCTCTTGAGAGGAAAGATGCAGCCATTAACGTTAACACATTAACACCCATTAACACTATGCTATAATTCAGAAGCTGGATGAATTCATGCAGGGTACATTTCCAGCCAAAGACCCTCAGGCAAAAGAACATGACCAGCAAAATCACACAGAAAATGTAGATAGCTGAGAAAGCCTAGCAGAAACTTTGACAGGAACATATTACCTTGAAAAAAATCATAAGTAGAATTCAAGCAATCCCAGAAGAAAAGGACATCCGTTCAACAGTATTTGAAAAACAACACCTTCAATAACAGAGCATTGCCTAAGATAATGCCAGGGCACTAAATATCTCAACACAGATTGGGAGAAAAATTACAGTCTACTAAATTATGAATTCAAAGGCTCTAAGTATGCAAAGTTGTCAGATGATCTTTCCTTATTTAAAGTCCTCATTACCTTTACATGCTACAGCAAAGTACAGTACAATCTATTCTTTTCTGCAATACCTCTTTTCTTCTTCCTTTTTTTTTTTTTTTTTAATTCCCAAGGAGCAAAAGAATGTAAAAAGCACATTTCTATCAAACTGTGGTATAACAGTTTGTGCTTTCACTATTACTGATATTGAGTAATCCCTATTACTTGATTTTTCCTTTCTAACATCAATATTGAAGCTCACGATACATCCAATCCATTCTTAATGCAGTGCTGAGTAGAAATCTTAGCTTATTCACAGACTGTTTTGAAGATAAGAAGAAACTCCTGACATCAAGGAATGGCTGCTTAGGCTGAGCAAATTGATAAATTAGGAGAGTATTAAGGAACATGAGAAATACTGATGACATAGCCTAGCACAGTGCTTACTACTAACAATAATGGTTCTGCTGTAGTACTTAAAAAATATCAAATGCAACTATACCATTAGCAATTAATAGCAGATATTTTTATAGAAAACAACAATAAAACACAAGTTAAGATAATAGTCCTCACTCTCCAGACATGGTGGTGTCAAGCAGTGGTCCTGGTGGGGCAGCACATGCTAGGAGTGAAGAAGATCTGGCAGGGTATGCTGCAGGTATAGGGACAAACTCTGGTGCTCATGTGGGCATGGGGGAAAGGAGTGAAGAAGCAGGTGATGGGAACAGCTCCCATCCTCTGGAGCTGTGGCTATGCACAGTGGGTGACTTAAAGACAGTCTTAAGCTGAACAACCAAAGACAAATGAAAGCGTTGGGATTCCTAGAGAGGATATCATCTATTACATCTACTCAAATGTTCGAAACAGACCTCAGAAACTGTCCTCCAAACAGTCTTACAAAAACAAGTATGGGGATGTGGAAGAGCAAACTGTAAGTTAAATTTTATTTCTCTATGTATGGAATAAAGAGATAGCAGATTAGCAACTTGTACCTCTTCACATTATAGATATTTGTGTAATTAATACTACTAGCTTTCCACAGTTAAATCTTTTCAACCTTTTCAACCTAATTAATTCTGCAATCTTATGATTTTAATTCAATCTAATAGAAACACCTTACATTGTACCACATGCTGGACTTTTTACAGCAAAGCCAGTAATTATTTACTTAGTATCTACAGTAAAATTAAAACTGCACAAGCATATCTGGATTTTATGAAAAAGTCTGAAGCCTTATATTGACAGTTTTTTTTGAAAATCGGGACACTTTGGTGGAGGTGAAACAAGTGGATTCTGCTTGCAATTAATTCCTTTTCAAAATGCTTAAAACAGAAAATAATTGTTTACTCCACAATCTTGAAAACCTAAATCTTAACTATTAGGAAATCTTACATGACTGCTGACAGATATCTACTAAGTGCCCAGCCCTAGCAGTCTCCTACTTCCAAATCATTCTGCTTTGTTTAACAACTAACAAAGCTGCACACACCATGCTCCAGGGCAGGACCTATCTATGCACAATGCCTAGCATGGTAGGATCCCAGATTCAGCTGTTATCATGGAAATATATCCAATGCAGATATGTCATATGTTTTGTAGCAAGACAACTGGACATCTGTAACTTCCCTCTAAGAACAAAGTAGTCCAGAAGTCATTTCTACGAAAATGAGTGTCTATGAAAGACAGTTTCACTTGTCTAGGAGATACTTTGTAGAGCTGGAAAATGCATCTGTAAAACTAGCAGGTCCTTGATAGAATGGGGTTATGCCACATATACTACAATTTTAGCTTCAAATAACAAGCCAGCTTCTCTGGTGAAAACTCATTTTTTAAAAATCTCTTCTCCCTCCACACATTTGTGGGGATTCATCACTACAAGCACATGAAACCACTTCTGCCTTCTAAGTCATTTGTACCTAAATGCATGACCTGCATCCCAGCCAACATTGTGAAAGATGTTGAATGGACTGCAGACGAGAGGATCACAGATCAGCAACAATATTTAGCAAGTTCCTGTCCCTCAAACTTATGCTCACAACTGGTATTCACCCTGTATCTTAAAACAGGAAAAATCCATGAAAAGTTATCAACCATTGGCAATGTGGGGTTTATTTTCATCATCTTTAGGCTACCTCAGTAATTTCTTCTCTACACTCCTAGCAGATAATGTGGCCCACAGACTTTTTATGACTTTTGATGAGAAACACACATCATAATGTAAAGGTCTAGGAGAGGTTTGATTCATTGTATTCATTTTTTTAGCACTTTAGATCTTTTCCAGTGCTTTCAGTGTTTCAGATTTCTTTTTTTCTTTTTTTTTTTTTTTTTTTCATTTAATAGGGAAAAAGAAGAGATATGCAAATAAGCAATGCACTGTCAGAAGATACCAAATATGAGAAGATATCAAATACGATTAACAAATCTGGCCTTAGACTAAAACACATGAACAGTCATAAATATTAAAAAGTAAAATAAAATCATACCAGATGGCAGGTCATCCAAAGGAAACTCAAACAACTTGGATTTGTAAACAGAGTGTAAATGGAAGTCATCCTGAAATTGTAAACAATTGCATGTATTAAAATTCAATAATTAATCCACCTCATGAGCCTTAAAAAGACAGTTCTAAAAGGGTCCTTGCTATCCAACACACCTACGTGAGGAAAAGTGCAAGCTGCAAGGCATCATTTCTCTACACTGTACTGCCCAGAGCTGCTGAACTGGAGTCAAGGTCAAACCAGGAGGAGAGTGATGTATTGAACCTAGAGTGGGAAGTGCCAGAGAAGAGGACAGGACACTCACAGGACACAGGACACTCCTGCTGACTCCATGGGACCTTTATCCTCTGGTGCTGTACTGCTCTACTTCCAAGTGTTATGGACCATAGACATATACACACATAAGCATACATATACCACTACCAAATTTTTGGAGGACTACCTCTGTCTGTGATGATGAGGGCTCAGACAGGTTAATGAGTTTAGGTTAATGAGTTGGGAATGAGGGGATCGTCCTTTGGCCACAAAGCCTGCCCTGCAACCTCATCTGTATTCCACAAACAACACATTAGGACTACTACAAGTTCTACTTGTTCTACTTACATCCAAAGAGTAGTTTTCATCTGGCTCAATAAGGTATGTATGATTTCCATCATAGAACATCCCACTGTCAAGAGCAGGAAATGTAAACTGATTTAATAAACAAATATTAGTAAAACATTGAAGTTTAAGAACTTCACATATTTTAAAAATATTTTTTTCTGAAAGAAAGCAGTTAAAAATGGTTTCAGGAACTGAACATTATTTTGAGTCATTTTTTGGTTTCTTTGCTTCAAAAAGAAAGACATTCTCTCCCATAGTGATACAGACTTTACTTTTTTTATAAGTCTCCCCTACAACACACAAAAATACCACAGAAATTTGGCTAATGTAGACAGTTCAAAATCCAGTTCAGAGCCATTCTCAAACAAGACTGATCTACCTGCAGTAAAGGATCTGTCTTCAGAAATAAGCATACAGAGGTTTTGGAATATGCCCACAGCTTTCCCACAAATAAAAATACAAAAAAAAAGAAATTTGTGCATAGTACCAAGAACAAAGGGCATAAGGGACTGTTTAGGGCATTCCAGTAATAACAGTTATGACAGATAGTCTTTTTCATCTTAAATTATGTCACTTTAGGTTCATATTTCTAGAAAAAGTTAATGGCTATATACAGTACTACATCAATATGGATATTACATGATACTCATGATAAGAAATACAAGCATATATTACACTTGTAAACTATTGCATCCATTGATGAGTATGCTGTCTTAGCATCGTTCATTTAGAGGGTTAACCATTTAACATTCACAGATGTAGCCTGGGTTGCTGAGTCTACAGAATACATCAGAAGAGCTCAGGAGTCCATGTACAATTTAAAGCTGTTTCCCCTTTCAAACTATCTGTGCTTAGTCTTCAGAAACAAATACTGTCTTCACTTCTTTAAAATTAATACTCCAGCACCTGCTGAAGTTTTCTTCCTGGGAAAAATATGAGATTTGGGAACATCTTTCAGCTGCTAATCAGGCAAAATTCCTTTCTTCTCATTGCAATTTTACTTAAGCACAGTCTGCAAGACTAAGTGCTATTAGTAAATGATTTTGTGTGCAGCATTGATCAAGTCACTCAATAACAATAATAGTTACGTCTGACCTACAGATCTGACTTGCCTGCTCAGAGCATTCATGGCTCTTTTCCAAGTGACTTCAAGAGCCCCATGCTCTTTGAAGGTATCAGACATTCACTGGTGTGCTAGAGAGAAAGCAGTAGCAAAACACGGGACACTCCAAAACCCCAAATTTAGATTATGTAAAGTCTTCAGACAAGTAAATTTGTAGTCGTAAGTCTAACTTGCAGTTACAACAGCAGTTTAGGCATTTACCACCAGTGGGCAGCAAAATCAAAGAACAACCTGGTATTTCTGCGCCTGGTCCTGAAGCAGAACTGCGCGTTGTGCCTGACTATAGCTTATTTATATCCCAGCAACCAACGTGTTTTGTATTCAAAGTTTTTAGTGTTAACTCATAGGAAGCTGTGGTTACTGCTTATCACACAGGAAAAAGAAATATACCAGCTAGCTTGGAGTTAAGGTTGTAGAGAAATGTTTTTCATTAGCAAAGTAATTGAGAAGAAATTCTAATTTTAAGCACTCCATCAGTCAGTAGCTCTATTAATTTAACTAATAAAAGGAAGACCACAACATAGACATTACCAAGAGAAGAACTCACAATTCATGATTAGTTGAACAAATACAACACTATCTCTACAGAGATGTCTGAAAAAAAGACATGGCCAAGATTACTGGCCAAGATCTAGGGGTACTACTACATCTTACTCATACTTAGCATGATCTCATACTTAGCATGAACCTTGTGAATATGTGAATATTAAGCTTGTTATTCTATTAAAGGAATCTGTTCTTTATTATGCACTCCCTAACATTTGGGAAAGCAGAGTTTCTGCCCTGCAGACCTTTTTAAAAGACTGCTCTCCCTGGCTTCCATTATACCACTGAGAACTCCAAACTGTGTTGCAGCTCTGATTGCCAGTGTGAGGTTGCAGCACTTACTTAGCATTTGAAATCGACTGTGGAGGAGCTAGCTGTAAAGGTGGAGATGCAGTGTCACTGAATGCGAGCTTAATACAGCTCAGGAAAACAATACTTTCTCATAGCAGATGCTGGAGTTACCAGCCTGATATATAGTAAGCTTCTGAAACTTCATTGCACTTTAAGAAAAAAAAAAAAAAAGATACTTCACAAGGGAGAGCAGAATTATACAGGAAAAAAATATGTTTCATCATATTACTATGTTAGAAGAGCTTGATTTGAATATTATTCAGTTTAAGAATACCGAGAAGCAGGAGGGTCAGTCTTAAAAACCAACCAGCCAAAGGAGGCCAGGAAAGGACGTGCACATCCTCTCCTTACTTTACTGCATTTTCTCCTAGGAGTTGGCAGGGACCAAGACCTAATGGATCACTGCTAATGGAAGCCACGAAGCTAAACCCCCTCAGGATGCATTAGGATGCTACTATTTTTAGGCTCACTGACACTACCAAACCTGAGGTCAGGTTTATTGAGCTGTTCAACCTTGACTGTAAAAGAGAGAAACACATCTTTAAGTCAGACAATGAGTGCAAGAATGACAAAGTATAAAATTTAAATATATAAAATATATAAAAAGAAAAGAAGGAAACCAGTCAAACACAATACATATGTGTCTGATACTAAAACTACAGAATAGCTGGAGACAGAAAATAAGCTGAAGAAGATTTTGATCAGCTAAATCCTGCATCCTTGGAAAAAAGCAAAACTCAGGTAATCTCCACACTCAGGCTCTCTTGCTCCCATGACCTTTCAAGCTAATATTAGTATTAAAAGTGCTGAGGAACTGTAATTCCCAGAGCAAATACACACTGAAGTTACTTGGCTGCTCTGAAAACCTCACTAGCTTCTTTCAATAGTGCCAAAAGTAGACAGGTTCAAAAGGTGTGCAGTCAACACACAGCTCCAAGTAACTTTCAGATGACAGATGCTTTAACTACATTATCAGTAAAATTATGTACTTTAAGACAAATTTGCACAATTCATCCTTTATTCCAGATTTTCAGAGATTTGACTTTAACAAAGGTATTACCCAAGCTGTGAAGGAAATGGATGGGACTAGAGAAACTCTACACTGTTATTTTCCTTTGAAAAGACAGTGGGAAAGAAAAATAAAATATGTCATTTTAACAAGGAAACAACATGGACAAATTTCAAATGGTTCATATCAGTATTGGGAGTACTTTTTATTCATATAAATTGGGGTATTTTCAACTACTTTTACTTTTGCATCCCTATAGTAAATTATTTTAAAGCGATATCTGATCAAAGTCACTACAACATGTTCTTAGTTTAAAAAAAAAAAAAAATGAGAAGAGAAACTTGTGCACTTTGGCAGTGAGTTCTGAAAACAAACAAGGCTTTTACAAAGTTCAAGTTAAAACTTTTTTTCTAAAGGTTGTTAAGCTTCATAGTGGTTGTTGCAAACCAGTTAATAAATAAATAGCACTTATTTTTCTATAAACAGATTTATTTTGCTTAACAGACTAAGTAAAGCTCAGTAAAAACAAAACAGCAGACTTACTGTAGTCCATGGCATGTTGACAAGGCAACAAATGATACTGGATTTCCTCGAATTTTTCCCTGATAATAACAATGTTCTCCTCCCTGAAATCATAAATTGAGACTGTAAATCCACAGGAAGTCATACAGTATCACACTCTGTCCTGTCTGACACTGTTTTTCAGTAATTGCATGGCCAACCCCATGACATAGTACCAAGAAATGAGTGTCATTCAAATGGGGTTCATCCCATCTCTTTTCAGCCGTCTGTGAGTTTGGTACCTAGTCAAACATCATCATTTGGACTCTCTCTCCACTGAATGGAGGTGGATATATTCAGTGCAAAATCCCAGGTATCCTGAGGTAGATTTCAGAAGCAAATGATTTCAGAAGTGCCCCTCTTTCTTCACTGAGATCTGGAAACAAGGGGCTTAGACTTGACACCTGTTCTGCACATGGCTGTGTTGGATAAGATGAGCTCTGCCCTGAGGGCCTGGCAATTTCCTATTTCTAAGGAGAAAGGTATGCTTGTCAAATAATAATATTTGATTAAGAAGTGAACAAATCAAAAGTGTTCCCCAGTGCTCCAAAGCTAAGGGAAATTTCAGTTCATATTTGCTTCTTCTCTTGCAGAGATAACATATATACTTTCTGAGTCAAATCCAGGAGACTTGACTCAACATAGCCCCATTTTCAAGTTCTACTGTCTGTGTACCCTGATAGTGAAGTAAGTTTTACGGTCTGTGTACCCAATGCATTCAGTATATCACAGCGTCAATATTTGAATGCCAAAATAAAATTAAAAAAAAAAAAAATTTTTTTTGAAGGTCCCTCCAGTTCTCACTGCCACTTTAGCTTGCAGAAGTAAATTTCACTATTAGTTATGTCATGTTATTGCACTTCTGTTGAGTAGAGAACTAATTAGAAGGTAAAGACCTTCAATGCAATGTTTTCTTTTTCCTTTTTCTTTCTTCCTTTCCTTTCCTTTCCTTTCCTTTCCTTTCCTTTCCTTTCCTTTCCTTTCCTTTCCTTTCCTTTCCTTTCCTTTCCTTTCCTTTCCTTTCCTTTCCTTTCCTTTCCTTTCCTTTCCTTTCCTTTCCTTTCCTTTCTTCTTTCTTTTTCTTTTCCTTCCTTCCTTCCTTCCTTCCTTCTTCCTTCCTTCCTTCCTTCCTTCCTTCCTTCCTTCCTTCCTTCCTTCCTTCCTTCCTTCCTTCCTTCCTTCATAATAACATTTTACTCTTTCAATTTCCTACCAACAAATGCTAGCCCACAGGTATGAATAATCTACCTAACCTAATGTGCTCAGCCATGTGAACATTTATATCTATTTACTGCAGGGAAGGAAAGGCATTACAATTACTGCTTTTGCAGAAGCTGGCAGTCACTTGCATGATTGAACAATGCATAGCATAATCATTTTAGACCTCTGACGTTAAATGCTATTGCATTTTATTTTTCAGTTATGGAAAAGAATTAATCAGGATCAGGCAAAAGGCAAAAAAAAAAAAAAAAAAAAAAAAAAAAAAGCCACATAGAATATGTTGGTAGTTTTGTTTTTTGATCAAGAAATGCCATTCTAATTTCTATGAGGCATGCAAACTATTTCTGAAAGCAATTACTAAGCACAGGTGCCTCTGTTTTGAGGTCCTCCCTGAGCGCATGCAGGAGCCTGTTTCTCAGATCATGGCCACCAGCAAGGAAGGAGATCTGCTCCCAAGTGGGTCACTGGAAATCATTCATCCCTTCTCAAAATCTTCTCTGGAGTATTTGTTCTTGGGTGATATGGAGTCCTGAGCTGCTGTTGGATGCCAAGGCAGGCAGCACAGCACACCTCGGAGGCTCATGGCTGCAGTGAGCAGCACCAGCAGCGTAACAGGGAATCACTGAACCCTTGAATCATTAAGGTTGGAAAATACCTTCAGGATCATCTGGTCCAACCATTCCCCTACCACCAATGTCACCCACTAAACCATGTCCCTAAGCACCATGTCCAACCCTTCCTTGAACACCCCCAGGGACAGTGACTCCGCCACCTCCCTGGGCAACCTGTCCCAGTGCCTAACTACGTGCACCACCTGATCAAACGAAGGGTCTGACACTATTTGGCAGGCCTGCTACTTCACTGTGTAAGGAGCCACCTACATCCTGTTACATGTGATTCAGACAGACTGTCTTATTTTGGCTCATTCTCCTATTTCATTCTCCTTTTATACACCTACTTACTTCCTATATCTTAGTTATTTAAAGCTCTCCTCGTATGACCTCTTATTTTTTTTCAGTCTATAAGATGTCCACCACTACAGGGCCACAGTATTGCTTAGGGCTTTCCAGAACTCATGAATGAAAACTACAAAAAGAGACATTCCAGCAGGTTAGTAACAAAATTAACAATCAAACCATATGGATGAGCTGAAGCTTTATGAGTAATAAAATGCTCTCTAAAAATAACTTTTGCAGTAACATTCCTGTAAAAGATATAACTCATATAAGCACATGAATATGGGAACAATGTTGAGTAAAACTATTAGTAGGGAGTTGTCCAGGGTTATAATTGTGAAAGGAATTTGAAGTAATTAGGCAAATTGGTTTCTTCTCAGAAAATGTATTTAATATGTATCAGAAGTAGAATCTCGGGCTACATTAGTTTGCAAAACCATGTGTTTGTAACCAGGAGGAACAGTTTTTAATACTAAGAATCCAAGTCTGTGGCTGAAAAGTGTGTTTTGATATTCTTATTGAGAATCAAGTAAATGCTCCATGGTTGTACCTCCAAATTAGCTTATTCCATAATAAATCAATCAACAAAATTTTATGCTTACAAATCCTGAAAAGAAAACTATAAGGAAAACAGCTTTAAATACTTACCTAGGAAAAATGCAACTCAAATTCTATTCTACTTAATCAAATCAGTTCGATTCACTGATCTATTGAAGTGCATGCTAATTGTGGCAGAGACAGAAATATAACCAATCTTCTCAGTCTCAAGGGCCCATTCTTACCACTGCAAAACATTTACTTCTATACACTAATATCTGCGGGATATTTTTACACATGGACTTAATTGTTCCTATTAAGATAAGTCACCTCAAACTGATTATTAAAATTTAAGGGGTCTTAAAACAAAATAGCTATTTTCAAGTATTTAATGATTTTTTAAATTAATATATATATATATTTTCACTGTAAGAAATCCTGCTATCAGGATACTTTAAATGAAGTTTTGAGGTTGTGTAAGAACATCACCTAATTATCATAATCTCAGCAAAGAAATAAGAGGTGATACAGTGAAAGCAGGTAGCACTAACACTGGGTGGCTCTGGGAAAAGTGATTGCTTAGCACTACTAACAGCATCTCAAGAGGATAAAACATATCGATAACGTGGCATTTGATGGGGTGGGTGCAAAATGCATATTGTGGTCTGGGGAGATTCCATTTCAACAGTTCACAAAATGTGAAGAGAAAAGCACTTACAGCAATGACGTTTGGGATTGGTTCTGCAGTGAGAGTCAGGACAACTGGGAAAACTGCAGATTGTTAATCTATAGATAATATTTTCTTTGGAGAATATGTAATTTCAGACAGGAAGTTTCCTGTCTTTGCCTCCCTGTAGTACTGAGGTTGATATCTTCTTGTTTTTTGACATGTACTAAAGCTTCTTTACAGCAGATGCTGTAAAAAAAAAAAAAAAAAAAAAAAAAAAGTATGCTGTGGTACAGGAAGAATTGCAGTAAGATGTAAGACCATGAAAGGACTAAACAAAATCATCACATATTCCACTTTTGCTCTGACCTTGGAAATATGCACTGAAGGACCAGGGCTGTTTCTTTTCCCTATCGATGTCTGTAGCTGTGTGATAGGAGCTGTAAAAAGTCTAGCAATTTCATTTTTTCCCAAAAATATTCTCGTGCCAGAATATTAAGACTTCTCCCAATAGCTGAAATTAGCAGCATTACCAAGAAATCTCAGTCAACAGCATTGAGGCCTTTTTGTGAAGAAAGAGCTATTGGCTTCCTCTTGCTATTACAGCCCTTTTCTGCTCTCTGAAAAGCAGATAATAATTGCCCATCTCAGCAAATCAGACCTCCATGCCGGCCTTTGTCAGCTACCAGGAAATGGCTCGGCATTCAGATGAAGAGGAAATAATGCCGTTCTTCCGACATACGTCAGCCAGAGATGCAGAGATCCCTTTCTGCTCTAAAATTGAAACTGGCCAGATAGGGTCTGGGAGAAAATTCGGCTAAGTATCTTCTAACCATGAGACAATGCCATCCCAGTGACAGTCCTCCTAGCTACACACTTGGACACTCACATGGTACCCAACAGCCATCTTATGTTACTGCAGAGAGAAGCTCAACTGCTTTGCTTCCACAGGACACGCAGCCATTCTACATGCTGTAGTTAGCACGAGGCAAAACAAATTCTCTGCCAGTGCCCTTGGGACTTGGTCGTCCATTGGTGATTTCCAAGAGCAATATGGAAAATACAGATATTTAATAAGAACTGCATCAGTTTTGGAAGCTAAAAATTGAATAGAATTCTACAAATAAATAATTAATTAATTAATTAATTGAATGACCCCATAGCAGGATCAATTAAAACAAATGAATCATTATGACAGTGGTCAGTTTATGACTTAATCTTGATCTTCATGCTTATATTGGATAATTACAGGAAAATCCTGAATTAGAGTTATATTGTCTTGTGAACTGCTACAGCTCGCTGCCAACCAGCTTGCAGCCTTTACGTCCATGTCAGTCTGAGTTTCCCTGCAGTCTGTTTGAGGAGTTAGAGTGGCAAAGATACTGAAAGCATGGAAAGGCAGAGATGTTAACGATGCAAGTAAAGTCTGCCCCCGTTTTTATCCTTTAAGATAGATTGTCCCTTCCAAAAGAGGCACCAGCTGTTGAGTAAACACCAAAGAGACAGAAAAAAGCATTAACACATATTTACAAAAAAAATTGGAAATAAGTGAAGAACCGCCACTGCAGTCAGTGATGGCAGAGGTTCACTCTTGTCTGCAGTTTCAGTGAAGAAAGTACTTGCTGACCATACACTGACAGCACTTGTTATTCACTGCAGAGACACTGTGACCTTCCCGGGGGAG